GAAGGGCTGCGCATAGTATATTGACAAATGATATTAACTATATGCCGGAATTACCAATGATGGGATCTCTTATTGTATTAATTAAGTAATAATGGAGGAAATGTAGACCAATATGACCGGAGGTGGAATGCACCAGTAGAGGAGACTATAGAGATTATAGGCTTGGAAAAATGACACGAAGGACCTATAAAGGGTGCGTATGTCTATCTCGTGAGGCCGCGTATTCGAGAACTTAAATTATTGTGAAGATGGTGTGTTTGGAGAAATGTATACTACAAAACGACCTTAGTAGGAAAGAATACATCCCGACCAATTGCCAGTATATACACACATAGGAAATTTCGCTTGGGCGATAAACCTACAAACACTACGAGGCACAGAAATATGAGGAGCTTCAAATGACTATCTAGAGGTATAGAAGGCGGGGCACACTTGAACGAGAGAGACCACTTAGCATTGCGGGTTATCGAGAGAGTACACCACGGACACTGAGGTCACTAGTCTGCAAGCGTTACGCACATGTCCCACTAGATCATATTTCTTGGAAGCATTAATATGTAAGTATTCTGTTTTGCGCTTTCTCTCCTTACCTCTCACTCAACGTTTGGCAACACAGTTGCGCTCAAACAGTTTTGACGATCCTCACTCGTTCCATCCTCTCCCTTCCGTCTCCGGCCACTACAGACTTACCTGGAGAGCAAGAGGATGGGCAGTTGGCGTATGCGAGGTATCCCTCTATGCTACTTTGGCCGACACCATGGTTAAGGTCACTGGTTGGTAGCCCAGGGAGACTAACCGTCATTTCGGAATGCTCGACTCAGTCCCTCCTGACCGTCAGGCAGCCCCGCGACGACTGACACGAGGGACAACATGCTCCTAGCACACCCTTGGCGGACGCCGACGTGCCTCCATCCTGCACCAACGGCGATTCCTCCGGTGATGGCTCGACGGGTATCGGTGATCTTCTATGGCCTTAGCTCGATAGTAATGAGTCTTTCAACAGTTTTATCTAATGGTTTTGATCACCGGAATGGATAGATTTTGAGAAGAATTTAGATTCTAGTCGTTTATGTATATTTGGGGCTGGGATAAATGGCCTTTGCGTTTGATTTGAGGGGATGAGATTTTTACTCTAGAACAATAATACTCTTCGCGGGAGGTTGGGGATGGGCTAAATACCGGGATTGGAAATGTGAGGTTTGAGATGGTTGGGGGTGGGTCCGGTGATGTAGAGAGAGCGAGGGGGGTGTCAAATGGGGTGAAGGGCACTGGTGGTGTCTGGGCATGGCGGGGATGGGAAATAAGAAAAAGGCCGGAGCTGAGACCGGCGCGGGTCCCCACTGAAGAACCAACTGTGTAGACGGATCAAACGGAACATTGAGACCCAGTTAGCATCGCTGGTTACTTAGGTCCGTACTGTGGACACTCGCTGTGCAGCAAAAGAAGGTTGGAACGGCTCTGCACCCGTGGGAAAGCGTGACCGGAGACGAACTGAAACCGGCAAGAAACATCCATGAATTCCTTAGTAAATTAGGAGGAAGAAGGCAGATATGGTCTCCTCTCTGGGTCCAGCACATGCATGGCGGATGTGGCACCACACATAAAGTGCATATCCGATATTATATTTAGATGAACGGTACACTGGGTTATTACTGGTCAAAATCCGTATGAGGCCGCATAGATGTGTGCTGAGGCACAGCTATCGGATTACTGGGACGTATATGTTCAAAATCATTCGGGCTAAAAATTTCGACAACACGATGTGCAAGAATCTCAATTAAGATTAATCATGTGAATACTCTCATAGGATCTACATTCGGAAATGAGCAACAATATTTGTGTCGAGACAACTTTGGGGCAATAGACATCTAATATGGACAAGAATTCAATCACGGAGAGATAGACTCTATGGACACAGCATTCAATTCTACTATCCGAACTATATAGGATAATTGCTGCGTTTTAGAATCAAATATTATATTCACACAGGGATTGGAAGGCTCAAGCTGAATATAAGATTAATTGAATTAGTAAAAAATTGGAAATTTATGAACATCGATTACAAGGATAATAAAGATTTTCACCGAAAATAGAAATGCTTAAATTCAAATTAATACGTAAATATCGTTAATTATGATTAATTATATTATAAAAGGGAATTAATAATTATAGTACAGCGGTGGTATAAGAACCGGTCTAATTAATTATGCTACTCTCATTTTAATATTGCTAATATTATTAATATCATCATTATTATGCAACACTTAATTTACTAGCGACATTTGTCTAAAAGATATAAACAAGAAATAAATAAACAAGAGTAACGAATTTATATATAGTTTAATAAATAAAATACCGACTAAAATTATTGTCGTTATGAATATCGTATGAACAATCGTATTATCATTATTAATATTATTACTATTATTAGTAATATTAATATTTTGATTAGTATTATCATATATTATTAGAAATAACTAATCCGTTTTATTAGAGGCGATAATTAGAAATAAATCATAAGGAAACTCAATATATATCTATAAATAATTTAGTTTTAATTAAGAAGTGAATTAAATGACTGGTAAAAAAATAATGAAATGATGTAAACTGCATTTTCCAAATTAGAATTCTCATTTAGAATTTTTTAATTATATAGATATTTTAAAGTTGTCGGCAGTGAAGAAGGCTGGACGCACATAAAGGTAGTCCTTTTAAGGACAACAAAAAACTGTGAGTAATGTTAGATAATTCGCCTCATCCGCCTGCATTCATGCATTCACGGTTAAATGTTATCATGCATTATTTTGTTGAATTGTCATATTGTGTTGCACTATTGTTGATATTAAAAATTGCTTGATTACTTGTGATATGATATTACTGTGCTTTGTTTGTGTGGAATTAGGATGAAGTGGGTCACCATGGGTTTGAGAGGACGGTCGGTAAAGTATGGATCATGATTATGATGAAATTGTGAAATTGGACCGTCGGCCGGGCAAATGGGAGATCGGCGCCCCCGTGTGCACTTGATGATATGATATGAATGATATGGAAAAGAAAAAAAAGAATGTAAAAAAGAATGAGAGGACTGATCATGTGAGGATTAGACTGGTCGGTCAGAATGGGGGATTGGCTCCCTGGTGCACACGTTTGAGAGGATGGGCTGTTTGAGAGGACAACTCGTCGGGGGTTTAGGTGACGCCACTGACTAATTTCCACATGATATGATTATATAAAGGTGATAATAATTGTGATTGCTGTTGTATTGCCATTTGTGTGACAAACTGCATGCTCATATAACCAAACGGGTGATCACATTAAAATATTTTAGCATTTGTATGATTGTGTAGGGTGAGAGGGTTATCTAATCCTACTCACTGAGTTTAGTACTCACCCCCTCCCCCCCCCCCCCTCCCAGGTAATAGATGGAAGATCCTGGAGTCAATGGGACGGATGGACGTAAAGTATAAGCATGTATGAATATCGTTAAATGAAGGATAGTAATTATGGAGTTAGTAGTCAGTAAGATCCTTAGGGTTGTAATGATAAATAGAGTATAGATATTTATTTATGGATTGTCTTTGATATTTTGTGAAAGAAATGAGATTGGGTTGAATCACAATTGTGAATAGGAATGCGAGTTTTAAGTAATACAGGCTTAACTTTACGGGTTCGAGGGGCTATAAGCGTAACAGGTCTAGTGCGGTTTTCACCATAAATCAAATCAACTACAATCAAATCAAGTGATATAAATTTTTTTATAAAAATTTTAAGCTACAATTTTTTGTGTATCCGGTTCGAAACGGACCGGAACCGCCGGTTTCGGGCCGATTCTAGTTCATATTTTAACATTCACATGAACCTTAACCGGCCCTTGAACCGCCGGTTTCGGTTCAAAATTATGAACCGCCGGTTTCGGTTCGATTTCGGTTTGTCTACAATACAGTTTGGTTTCGGTTCAGTTCCGATTAGAACCGAACCGGTGGCCATGCCTATATATAACCATGTTTTTGGCCATGTCATCAAGCAATAGATTTTCTTCAATGCATTTATTATCATTTAGCCCTCACCGTTTACAATGTCATTTTAACATGGTTACTATACTTGCTCTAAAAGATATATAGATTATCATATATATTTCAAATTCTCATTTTTCAGCATATGATAAGGGTATTATTGACATTTAACTTTGCAGAACTATTTATGATCTTAATCATAAGTGGTAATCTAATTAGCATCGCCCTATTTATTAGTTAACCGTTATTAACTACAAGCAATTATAACATAAACAATTTATTAGTTAACCGTTATCAACTACTAGCAATTACTATTTGGTAACACAAACAATTTATTAGTTAACCGTTATCAATTATTAGCACAAGAACTTACGGTATATATTATATTTTTAATTTTGAGGAGATTGGCAAAATAAAAAAAAAAAAAAAGGAAAGAAATTTCTACCATGTAAAATTGTTAAAATCCATCCATGCTTCTCAACTATGATTTCAATCTCCCCTCTTCCATCATTCTCTTTCCATAAACATGATTCATGCCAAGACCAAAAGTGATTGAAGTTTTCATGGGAAACATAACATAAAACGGGCTCTAAAATGTATAATAACAATCATAACAACCAAAAAGAACACAAAAATCCATCAAATGCTGAGATGGCAAGATCCTATTTGTCCATCAAGGACTCAAAGTCAAGAGACCCTACAAAAGCCCAAGTGGGGAAGAGCGCATAGGAGCGCAATTACAGTCAGCACAAAAAAGAGTAAACTGAAAGCAACGTATAAACCCACAAAAAAGCCCAACAACTCAAACTCTTAAGAATAATTTGAAATCAGATGCGGCGAGCCACATGCCAACTAAGTGAGTTACCGTTATTAGGACAAGAAAGGAAAGTCATCGTTAATCTCATGATCCAACGGTCATATTTCACTAGCCGTTTGATTTGAAAAAAGGGAAAGAAAAGGGAGAGGGTACTGACTACCTATTTCTTTTACCCGTTGTTGTTGTGTCTTTTATTTCTCTATCTATATCTGGGTTTTGTAGATTCAGTTGCCTTAACGTTTCTTTTAAATGCACTGTAGTTAAAGTTTAAATCTTTAAGGTCTCCTGGGCTTTCTTCTTCTTGTTAGTGGGTGTGATTGTTCCTTCAGATTTTTTTATCTTTGTTAATTTGATTCAAGAAGATATGAATTTATCTGATGAGAACAATCCTAACATCGTCAAACCCACAACTTTTCAAGGTAAAGAAGTGAACTTATGGAGTTTCTTGAAGTTTGACAGAGAGTATATGCTTTTGAACATGAAGATCTGATATGGGTTCTTGTTTTTCGTTTTCTTTTTCTTTCTTGAATTTTTAGGAGGAATGGAGATGGGTAACAGAAAGTTTGGGCAGGAGATTAGGCACAGCAGAAGAGCTTTAAATGTGTTAAATCAGAATTTTATTGGAGCAAAAGCATATCCTTGTGTTGTTAACAAGAGAGGATTGACTGAGTAACTTTCTTGAAACTAGATTTTGAGTATTCTTTCTTTCTTCCTTTTTTACTAATTATTCTGAAGAACAATCTTTGATTTTCTTGTATATTCAGAAATCATGGAGTCTATGAAAAAACCTCACTTAATCTCGCACATCGACCAATTACAAGGTTAGAACCATGATCTTTATGTTCTTAAAATCTCTTTTTGTTTCGCTGATGAGGGGGAAAAAAGAGCATAAAGAAACAAATAATAATAATAATAATAAATTTACATTTGAATAAATACATCTTTTACCACAAGAAAGAAAATAATGCCTGCAACTTAACTGAGTTAATGATTGAGCTAGAGACAAGTTTTTTTTTGTTTCCCCCTCATTTTGGCAAACCCACTGATGGAGGCTCTAATTTTGATTGTGTGATTTGAATTTTCCCATTTTTAGGAAGTTTGCTGCACAGTTGTCAAGTACACATCAGCAATGTCCCCAGGTACCATCTCTTTCTCTATAGAAAGAAAAGATGGATCCTTACATGCATCTTGATCTTTATATAGTGTTAATTATTCTACTATTCAAGAATGGCAAATTTAATTTCTGGGAAAATAATGTTAGCAGGAGGCTAAGAAGCACAAACCATCAGTTCCAAGCACAAATGGATTTGGAGACTGTATATTCATAGATGTTGAAGAAAATAAGGCAGCTGCAGATCATCCAGTACCAATGTTTTTAGAACAAACAGAAGCAATCCATGATGAAATAGATCAGATGGTAATCTCTCTATCTCTCTCTCTCTCTCTCTTTCTCTCACTCTCTCTCTCTCGCTCTCTGGTTATGGGGCTAAATTCTTACTTTTAGAACTGTAATTGATTTTCTGAAATCTATCAGGAAGAGGTTGAAATGGAGGATATAATTGAAGAGCCAATTGTGGATATTGATGGCTGTGATGCAAAGAATCCACTTGCAGTTGTTGATTATGTTGAAGATTTGCATGCCTATTATAGAAAAATTGAGGTAAATAAATATATTTATTAATGACAAGTTCGATATTCTGTGCAGTTCTTCAAACTTCTTTTCTATTAATTTTGAAATCAAAGTTCTGTTAAAATTGATTTCTCCAAAAAATTAAAGGAAAATAAAAAGAATTAGGTTAGTTTAAAATGATTTTGTGTAAATTATCTTGGCAATTATTTTGTGAGTGATGTTTCAGAAATCAATTTGTGAAAATCTAATGTTTTGGAATAATTGCCTGTTATGGCAGCAAAAATCTAAAATTTCCACCTTAGTTTGATGACTAATTAACAGCTCAATTTGTGCAGAATTTTAGCTGTGTCTCCCCAGATTATATGGAACAACAGTTTGACATTAATGAAAAGATGAGAGCTATATTGATTGACTGGCTTATTGAGGTAAAAAAAATGTTCTCCCCACAAAAAAATAATTAGCTATTGAAATGTACATAACTTGATTCTAATAACATTTGAAATTCTGAACAGGTGCATGACAAGTTTGAACTCATGAAAGAGACATTATTTCTTACGGTTAACCTTATCGATAGATTTCTATCACAACAACCAGTTGTGAGAAAGAAGCTTCAATTGGTTGGACTGGTTGCTATGCTATTAGCCTGCAAATATGAGGAGGTTTCTGTTCCAGTAGTGGGAGATCTAATCCTTATATCAGATAAGGCCTACAATAGGAAAGAAGTTCTTGAAATGGTAACTTTTCTTTATCTTGATTTTTGAAAATTGTATCAGAACTCTAAATTAACCACTAAACATTTTCATTTTTCACAATCTGCAGGAAAATCTGATGCTTAACAAATTACAATTTAACATGTCATTTCCAACACCATATGTTTTCATGCAAAGGTTCCTCAAGGCTGCTCAATCTGACAAGAAGGTGAACAATTTCTTCCTTTAATAAACTTGCATAATTTATTTAGTTAGATTGTGTAACTTATTTTTTTAATTTATGACCTGAAAAAACAGCTTGAGCTTCTTGCCTTCTTCTTGATTGAGCTTTCTCTGGTGGAATATGAGATGCTCAAATTCCCACCTTCTTTATTGGCGGCTGCTGCAATCTATACAGCTCAGTGCACTATCTATGGCTTCAAGCAATGGAATAGGACTTGTGAATGGCACAGTAACTATTCAGAAGATCAAATTTTGTGAGTTTCTTTGCTTACCAATTAGCATCTTTCTTTAGATTCTTGCAAAGGAAAGTGCTAATGACGTTTGTTTCTTGGTTACAGAGAATGTTCAAGATTAATGGTTGCTTTACACCAGAAGGCAGGGACAGGGAAACTAACTGGAGTACACAGGAAATACAATGCATCTAAATATGGCTATACCTCAAAATCTGAACCAGCAGCTTTCCTATTAGAGCCTCAAAAATAGCAGGAGGGAATGTGTACAGCTTCTGACTTCTTTTACTTGATATTGGGTTGGTGAGGATCTACACAACAATAATCAGCAACTTTTTGGTTGCATCTTAGGAATTTATTGATATTTTGAATTTTTAAGCATTGCAATATCTGGCTGTTCGATGCTGATATTTTCTCACTGTAATTTTCTTTCAATGGAAAAGAATAATTTTATGACACCTCATTGTATCTTTTCATCTTTTCTCTCTTTTACTCGAGCATTAAAGAAGTGTTTGAGAGGTGTCAAAAATTAATAACAACAACCAAACCTTAATCTCAAACTAGTTGGGTCAGATATATAAATCCAAAATGAAAATATTAAGATACATGTTTTAGAAAATTCCGCACGTGTTTGAAATTATCAAAAATAACGGTGTCGAATACGAATACGATATGTATAATATGTGGTTGGTCTATTCAATAACCATATTGCTATGATTGGCAAGGCAATTTGCTCCTCATATTATTATTTCCATATTTGATTTCAAGGTTCATAGTCCTGCATAAAGTTGAGAAATAGTGTTCCTACTCAAGGAGTTGCAATGAAATTTAAACACCGTGTGCATAAATATATAATACAGTCAAAAACCAAAGGAAAAGAAGTTGGCAATTTCCAATTTTCCTCCATTAAACTAAGACCCCGCCAAAAAAACACCAACCCCGCCGCCACTCCTCTGATTGGTTTTGGAGTGCAAGGAAAGTAAATAAATAGTAAATACACTCTCAGTACTTAAACGGTATCGTTTTTTGTCTTCAAAATTTCACCAACCACCTACCTCAAATAAATTATGCTGAGTGTTATTTTGAGAAATAAAAATTGGCCCTAAATTGTAATAATTAAATTAATAAATAAAAATTCTTGTTTTTCAAAGATTATATGAAAAGTTCGAAGCGTTAATTTAATCATAGTTTAGAGGTTTCATAATTTTAAAAAGTAGACATTTTTTATATTAGTTTGATCAATTTAGAAATAAATTATTTTTTTCTTTTTTATTTTTTAGAATATAATTTTATTTTTATATATTTTATTTAATTTGTTAAATGTTCAAGTTAGCCTATATATTAGTCTCAAAGATTCAGATCTTTTGCACAATTGAAACAGAACATTAACTCCTCTGCTTAAAAAAGCAGTATCTCTGTTTCTCTCTGTTATTTCCTTTCTCAACAACTATGGCAACAAAACTCACCGCATCGCCGAACTCTCTCCTCCTCCAAAACCCTAATCGTCAACACCTCCTAAAACCTAATTCCACCACTACGTTCTCTAGTTTCTCCACCCAAAACAAATCCATTTCAATCAGATGTGCAACCACATCAACAGCTCCCGTTTCTCCAATCCCAGCCCAAATCCAAGATCCCGACCGTGTATTCAATTTTGCTGCCGGACCAGCCACCTTACCAGCCAACGTCCTCAAGAAAGCTCAAGCAGAGCTTTATGACTGGCGTGGATCTGGAATGAGTGTAATGGAGATGAGCCATAGAGGGAAAGAATTTCTCTCTATTATTCAAAAAGCAGAGGCTGACCTCCGCACACTCTTAAATATATCTGACGATTATTCTGTTCTGTTTCTCCAAGGTGGCGCCACCACCCAGTTCGCCGCTATTCCATTGAATCTGTGCAGACCCGATGACCCAGTTGATTTTGTGGTCACTGGGTCATGGGGCGATAAAGCATTTAAGGAAGCACAGAAATTTTGTAAACCCAAGGCGATTTGGTCTGGGAAATCTGAGAAGTACACAAAGATTCCGTCTTTTGATGATTTAGAGCAAAACCCAGATACTAAATATTTGCATATATGTGCAAATGAAACAATCCATGGAGTAGAGTTTAAAGATTACCCAATTCCTAAAAGTGGGCTTTTGGTGGCTGATATGTCTTCAAATTTCTGTTCAAAGCCTGTAGATGTATCCAAGTTTGCTGTGATCTATGCTGGTGCTCAAAAGAATGTGGGTCCATCTGGGGTTACAATTGTGATAATCAGGAAAGATCTGCTTGGAAATGCTCAAGAAATTACTCCTGTGATGTTAGACTACAAGACCCAGGCAGATAATGATTCTCTCTATAATACTCCTCCTTGCTATGGTATTTACATGTGTGGTTTAGTATTTGAAGATCTTTTGGCACAAGGTGGGTTGCATGAGGTAGAGAAGAAGAATAAGAAGAAAGCAGAGTTGTTATATAATGCAATTGATGAAAGTAATGGGTTTTACAGGTGTCCAGTTGAAAAGTCTGTTAGGTCATTGATGAATGTGCCTTTCACACTTGAGAAATCTGAACTGGAAGCTGAGTTTATCAAAGAAGCAGCTAAAGAGAAGATGGTGCAGCTTAAAGGACATAGATCAGTTGGAGGAATGAGAGCCAGCATTTATAATGCAATGCCTTTGGCTGGTGTTGAAAAGTTGGTTGCTTTTATGAAGGATTTTCAGGCAAGGCATGCTTGAATCTTTTGATTGACTGAAATCAATTGAGACTCCAAAAAGTTTCCCTTTATTAGTTTTTTTAAGAGGCTACAAAGGCTTCTCTTGTGTTAGAGATATATAACATTTTTGGGCTTTTCCCTATTGTTTCTTTTCTGTATTTTTTTTTTTTTTTTTTAAATTATTTCTATTAGTTTTTTTAAGAGGCTACAAAGGCTTCTCTTGTGTTAGAAGGCTAATAAACATTTTTGGCTTATTCCTATTGTTTTTTTTCTGTAATTATTTTTTTTTTTTTTTATTTCTTTTTTGTATTTTTTTTTTTTTTTTGAAAGTTATTTCTTTTCTTTTCTGTTTGATTGATGGTCTCAATGAATGTTGTAATGTTAAACTATGTGCATTACTCTCTAGTATTATTCCATCTCATGAGCTCAATCTTTACTTGATGGCTTGAACTCGATAGATTAGTAAAATTTAATTCAACTTTTGACACTTGCTGTAATTGTTGGTAATCCTAGGCGTTCCAAGGCAATTACTATAACAATACAGGTTTTGTGATGGAGCTTAGGTTGCCTACTTTTAGACTGCGGTGTAAATGAGTCTTGATGGCCTGGGAGCTGTTTGAATTCGGCTCGAGAAAGGTTCAAAAAAGTGAGGCTCGAGCGATTAAGGCCTCGTGTGGGGCCTCGCGTATGCTTGAAAGACTTGAAAGACGACAAAAGAAGACAATCATGCGATAAAAGTGTTTGATGCATTTGTTTATTTGGGAGGGTGGAGGAAGATCAGCCGTGGATGGTTTGTCTGTTTCCCTAAAATGCTGTGAGGATGACATTGCTAAAACAAATCCAAAAAAGGTGTGCACCTATTTTCTGGATCAGGTCAAAGTTTTAACACGGGTGGGTTACAAGTTAACTTAGCCAAAGTTTAGGTTCTCGCCATGTAAGTTTGGGTTTCATTTTTGTATAGTGCAGATGCGAAAAAGAAAAAGAAAAAAGTGAGTGAATTTGGCCTGCCTTGCTTATGAGTCGGGAGGATTTAGCTTCATGTCATGCCTTTTTTGAGATCAACATCACTACCAACCCAAGTATGAAAATGATGGATAACCAGTAATTCATTGTTTAAGTCAAAACAAAAATAGCTTTTGCACTTGGTCACACTACTAAACACACAGAAATCCATTGGATGGTGGGGTACGTTATAGCTCTGTCTAATTGAATTTTGCCGCAGTAAATTTTGTCCGTACAAAATAGCATACACAACATTTTTGACAAACGAGAAATTTAAATTTTTTATATTATTCTTATAAGTGAATAACTTGAAGTTAAATAGAAAGTCCTTTCATTTTCCCAAAATAGAATTATTGCGAGATGTCCAAACTGCCGACAATAGAATATTAGTTTATCCAACAATTTTTCCTTTTCACATATACAATGATTTGTCAAAAAGAATAAAACAAAAAAGAAAACAGTTTAAACAAAACAAAAGAAAATAAGAACTGCCTAGCTTCAGGACATTTTTTCCGGAAAGAAAAATAGAATGATGAAAACTGTTTATCATATATCATTCTCTTGTTATTTCCTTTACAATATCTAAACAGAAAAAGATAAATTGGCTTGCGTTACAAAAAGATACACAATGTGACCACTCTCAACTCTGCTTTCAGCGTCAGCAATCACCCAATACAACTGCAGCCAAATAGCAGTTGGGCCAAAAGAATTCTCTAGGATGTTCTTTCAGGTGTTATGAAAAAGAAAATCTTGAGAAAAGAGAGAGTGTTGACCCAGATGAGTCGCTAGCCGGACTTGGTGTTACGTCATTAGCTGCACGATATGCTTGTTGACATTTCACCACCTGCTCTTATAAACAAGGGTAAACAAGAAGCACAATGTTAAGTAAATTGCAATAGCATAAAAACTTGACAAATTAATCCCTAAACCGAAATGTGGTGTAATGCTACTACTATTATTGTCAGCACTGAAATGACAACACGAGCAATAATCGTGGTGTGTGATCATGTAACCCATTGATAAACACAAGGCACAAGAAACTCGAGATTTGAATCTCCAAATTCCACACCATCATTTCTATGATCCACCAAGACTAGTTCCAGAACTAAGGTACAGAATAAGAATTTCACCTCTTGAGGGCTGAATTGCAGAAGCATTGCAATGACAGGCAGTAGAGCCTCCACTTCACCTAGTCAGACAGCATTCAAAGTAAATCAAAATCATCAGAATTTCAAACATGCCTTGTAACTTGATATTCCTATCAATTAACGCAAGGAAAAATACAAAGTTCTAATAATCGATTTGTCGACATGTACCTGTTTCAAGAAGCTTCAAGATGACATTTTTCAGATATGTCATATCTACCCCCTCCCTTTTCTGCGTTCTTTCCATGTTGCGTAGCTCAGCCTTCAGCATGGCTTCCTGTAACCATCAGATTATAAACTATCCATCATCAGATAAAAGGAACTAATTATAAAAAATAAATAAAATAAAAGGGAAAAGAAATGGAAAAGGGCAAAAGAACAGATGACCTTAGCATGCTAGCTAGATTTCCTTATCCACTTTGCTTACTCCCCTTTATTTAAACTAAGCAGTCTACCCCCCATCCAGCACATTTCGAATAACAATACCTCATTCTCTCTTGCTATAGCCCATTTGAACATGTGGTCTTCTGACCACAACAAAGAACTTACAAGGTAACCCTCCTCAAAAAAGTTCAATTAAGATAAATTGCTCACTTCATGAGGTAGTCAAAATTTAATCACTACTAGTTGATTTTCTTGGCATATCATTCAAGAATTAAACTGGTTTCACATTTTCCAACTGACTTCTCACAACTAAACACATAAATTTCTTGTCATTTCTTGCAGCCTATTCATCCATCTCAATGTTGCTACTGCAACTATTCTGATTTCATAAAGACATTTCTCAACAAGAGTTCTGTGAGTCTGCATGGATGTACGGATAATAGAAATCATCAGAAGTCCAGTCATTTTATACCTGTTGGCTGTGAAGACGATTTTCCCGTTCAAGTTCCTCAATTTCCTCCTGAATCAAAACAATTATCAAAAACTGTACTGCATGAAAGTAAACAAAAAACTAATGTGGGAGCATAACATACTTGAAGAGCCAAAATATGCCTCTGTGATTGTGCCAGCTCCTCCTCTCTCTGAGCTTGTTGCCGTGCCAAAAGCTAAAATTTGAATAAAGACTATCAAAAAGGTAATTACTGCACTATTTCAACTTTCCTAGTTCAAGCAAAGTCTGAAGCAATCATTTATAAACTAGTAGTTTGTCTGGATGTACAAGATTGTTGAAAAAAATGAATAAAAAAAGAGAAGATTGTATATAGAACTAAATGAGGTTAAATATGACATATACATGATATTAGGATGCTTTAATATATTGTTTCGATTATCACCAGATCCAGCACTGCAAGCTGTCAGCAGCACTTTTCACATAATTTCATTTTCAGCTTTTAACTATGAAATGACATTTGGAAATCACTCTCCACATAATCAGACAATAATATTCATATATTGCTCTCATGCATCTCTTCCTAGTTCTATGCAGATAAACATTTGAGAAAATAAGTTTCTTGGGGAATCACCCATCTCCATCGAGAGCAGTGTGCTTTTTCAATAAATATAGACATCAAGAATTATCTAGACAAGTCTCATATGAGAAACAAGTGTCAAAGTTCACTGTACAGAAACATAATGAGCCTTTGTGGCAGCAATATTGCTAGGCAGGAACTATGACAAAAGTACACAAAAAAATCTGTACACGTAGGTAAACCAGCAATGTGTTGAAACTATCTTGTCTTTTATACACGATGTGTATTACATGGTTTTTCCAGTAATATAAAACCAGCATGTGTTGAAACTTATCTTGTCTTTTATACACGATGTGCTGATTAACATGCGTTTTCCAGTAATTTATATATTAAATTAATATATATATATATATTTATATATTATATATATATATTCTGGTTGATGGTTTGAGGTACCCTGATGATTCTAATACCAGGCAAAAATTATTAGTGTATTGATAACTCCAAGGTTATATATATATATTTCTGGTTGATGGTTTGAGGTACCCTGATGATGTCATACCCAGCAAATTATAGTGTATGATAACTCCAAGGAGAGTGTTTTTACCAGAATCTGCTGTTCTGCAGCTGAGGTGCTTAAATTTGGTACATCCTGCTTTTTCAAGGCTGAAAATAGCAGCTCAAATAAAGGACAAGTTAGAAGCATGTCAAGCTTCAAATACAAATAACGGTTCAATTTCCTATAATACCATAAAGACTCTAATTCTAGCTCACTGAAATAGATTGGCAAAATATATAGGATTTCATACCTGTCATGTTATTTCCATTTTGATCAACCTGGCACACATGGTGAGACCAAGAGAAACCATTTTATAAGAGAATTTGACATACCATAGTGAGCTTTAAAATTAAGGTCAAAGGAGGAAAAGCTTACTTGTGATCTTGATTCCAAAGAGCTGCGGAGATTTTTATTATCATCAACAAGTTTAGAGATTTCTTTGTCCTTCTCCCCAATCATTCTATCAGCAAGGTCACGAAATGACTCGTGCTCCTCCTGCATGTTACAAATGCAATTAATCCATTAAGAAGTACTTGCTTTATGTAAGCCTGGAAAAAAAGGAGCGGAAGGTGTTGGGAGCAGTAAAATACCTTCAGCTTTTTATACTGTAGCTTGAATTCTTCCAATTCTCTTTGTATATCTTGTCCTGAAGAAACTTCTTTTTCTGCCTTCAATGCCTCGTATCTAGCTGCAAATATTTATAAACTCTAAAATTGTTTCCAATCTCAATCATATGCTGCTTCAGAGGAAAGGCAGCAGAAAGGATGAAAATAATAATTAGAAAAAGATTAGGAAATTAATCATAGATATATTACATTTCCACGATTCTTCCAAGTTCTGAAGGTTGGTTTCCCATGCTTCTTTCTCTAATTGGTGGCGAGCATTGGCAGAATCAAGTTTTATTTCTATGCTCTTAATCTGCTTCTTGGAATTGTTCAGTGCTGCATCTCTGAAATAATTGGAATTGTTAAGTGTAAGACAGATGATCTTCACTACCCAGATTTTCAAGATCTGAGGTCAAAATACTGTTGAAGCACAGTATTCCGGAAGGGATAATAAAATGTGACAGTATTGCCAGCAAAAGAAACACAGGCTATCAAAGAGACATATGTTGATGACAACATTGTAAAAATAATGACAACGAGAACGTGAATTAGCGCTATTATGACACAAATACACAATAAAAAGGAGGTTAAAAAAGAGGGACAAACATAGATAATCAGAAGGAAGTAATTCCAGACATTGAAAAGATAAGCTCAAAGCACAATCATACAAATTCAAGCCTCTTTCAAATTATCTATTTAAGGTACAATAATGAGTTGTCAAGCTAAGGAATATGCAACCTAAAAATTATAAATGCAGGAGTAAAGCATGATATAGAACTGCCATTTTGGAACAATCTACTAAAGCAATATGAATATGCCAATATATCAATGAAATGCTTGGAGGGAGGCATACATCTGAGTGTCCGAAAGGAATGGAAACAATTGCTTCAACCTCGTCATACAGGACACCAATGATATTAGTAACAGGTAACGTGTTGCCCGTCCAAGAACATAAAGAGTTCAAGAGCATTAGATTAGGGATTGGAGTGACAGAGAGATTAGAGACTAGATCCAAAAGAACGGAGCATACAAACATGCATGAGAATCACCCTCGTGATACACATGCAGCACTATGACAGACCTGTCCCTTTCTGAAAATTTTTTATGTCCCCTTAACTTGTACAAACATGGACTACCATTTTACTATCTACCTCAATAATTGCATGCCCATAGTTCTACTGTAATTCCACGTAAAGAGAATGGCAGAGACAGATTTCAATAAAGATACTCCATCATTAAAATTTTGAGAAATTAATTCACCTCTCAGCGAGCTCTTTATCACGATGAGCCAATGCATCTTGAAGATCCTGAAGAGCCTTGTCCCTTTCTGCAGATATTATTGACACTTCTTTTTCAGCCTCCTACAGGGCAAAAGAAGTTTCATCAGCAAATGAAAATATGTGAATCAGCCACTTTTACGACAATTAAAGGCAACCATGGGCATGTACTTTTAGTGCTTCCTCCAAGACTCTAAGTTGTTCAGAGTCCATTGCTGCAGCTAGCTCTGAATCTTTTCTCTGGAGAAGTGCATGAGCACGAACTTTATATGAGGAAAATTCAGTTTCAAGTCGGTTGATCTGCAACATTTAAATTGACAAAGAAATGTATCACATCAGGATTTCAGAAAATTTATATCTGTATTTCCTGTTAGGAGAGTATTAACACAGAAATGTATGTGTTACTAATGGAAGAAGTTCCTGGGTGTGCTCAAGTTTTACTCTGAGGTTTTGTTCTCAGTACTTAAATGAATAAAGGCAGATAAAAGGTCCAATGAGGAAATTTCTACAGTCAATTCAAAAAATAACTGCAGGTTATCATCCTATACATGTTCACTTGAACCACCACCTCTATTTTGAGGTCTGCTTGAGAGACTACAGCCCAGTATATTATACTATTATGCAAAGAAGAAACACTAGGCTTCCATTCTTTTCTTTTCTCGTGTTGATTTGATGGTGGAGGATTGAATCAAAAATACAGAAGAAAACTGCCTTAGGTTTAGGAGTTTCAATAATAACTATGCTCAAACACAGATGCCTTAGCCATGGGAAAGTAAGTTCAATCCACAAGATGTCCGAGTTCCTAATAATAGAGATTGCTCTTCATGAATTTTTAGTTTACTTCTTAGAGCACCCTTTCAACAAAGACATTACAACTGTACTTGGAATATTTGGCTCAACTGATTGACAGATCTTTTTTTTTTGTTTTTTTTTGTATAGGTAGGATTGAGATCAAAGGACCAATTTGTCTCATCATGAGCTCTTCTTGCAGCAATTAACACAGATTTTGAAGGAACATTTCTTTTCAGATTGACATGAACTAAAGATAAGAACACCCTCACTACTACTACAATGTCAATCATTGTATAAGCTCTCTCTCTCCCTCTCTTATTCCAAGATGAAGTTGTGGAAAAACAACTGGATACCTCCTCTTTGGCAGCCAACAGTTCAGCATCTTTTTTATTTAGCATCTGCCTTTGCACCGACACTTCTGATTCCAGCTGACCTGCCCAATATTCAAAGCATGAATAATTCAACTAACGAGCAAAAAAGCTAAATAGAATTGAAATAATGAGTTGTACATACTTCTCATTTTAGCTGCTTCAATTTCAGCACGTATGCAGTTACTCTCAGCAATTTCAAGTTTCATTTTGAGACCCTGGGAAGCCGCTTCCCAGCTCTCCTTTTCTTTCTCCTGAAAGTATGACACACATTAAGGAAATAGAAGTCCTAAAATACATGCATGTAGATTAGCTAATACACATAATAATGAAAGAACAAATGTACATATGTGGCAAAAAATTATCTCCATTTTCTGAAGGAATCACAAAATGGAAAGCAAACCAATGATCTTCACAAGATAGAATGGATGATATTCCAAAAACAAAAGAATTATTTATTAATTGCCCAATAAAGATTTTCTTTTCTTATAGATAGGTTGTCATTATAAGGATTTGGGACTATAGCATCTCCATGATCTAATAGGCGCCTACCACCCCATTAGTGCAGTGTGTAGTCCAATGAAAAAATGGTGATCAGCTAGTGCTCACACCATGATGCTCTCCAATGATTGTTATAAGCTGGTCATTTTGATCAGAAGAATTATCTTAAAACCGCATCAAAGTAAGACAAACAGACAAAAAGTGGAATATATGTGGAATGCGCTTACGGCAAGCAAATAATCTCAATATAAATTTTGCAAAAAATATTTTCCTAAGATACATACTGTGCATTTTCTGGCGTTTGAAGCACTCAAGAAAATTTGTCAAGAGGGAAGTCATTTCCGAAATTTAAAAAATACATCACAATGAAAGGGAAGCACAAAAAAACAGATCAATTAATCTACCCAATAATCAGTGGTCACCATTGCCATCACCATCGGCTATTGCCAACCACCACTGATCATTGGCAGTGTCCACCGGTTGCCAACAACCACCTGAATTTACCATTTTTACGCATTTTTTCTCATATTTAACAATATAAGTACAGAAGTTTTCTCATATTTAACAATAAATTAATTTTCAATGTTGAAACCAAATAACATAAAATGAGTTCTTTGGAAAGTAATTTTCAAGAAAAACATTTTTATGGGAGAATATTTCGCAGAACAAATAGAGAGTCAGTAAGACTAGGGAAAACTTTTTACAACTCAAAAAAGTAAAAAATAAAAATAAAAGAGACCTTCAGTACATATACTAGACCATACAACATTTCAGGGAAAATATCAGTCCATTAAGGTATTCAATTTTTCAATCTAAATATTTAACTCACATGTTCGTGTTTTTGGTGAGCAAGCTCTCCCTTTACACTTTCCAAAGCAGCTCTAAGCCGAGCCACTTCACCACTTGAAGCAGCATCCATCTCTGCAATTTCAGACTCTTTCTCTGCAATCAGCACCTGCAGAAAGATAGCCTGGCCAGTTGAACTTATCTCTCGATTTCCAGAATCAAGCAGCATCTATCTAAAACTAGTTCCTTGCACACTTTTAAAGCCAAATGTTATCTTCAGCTGGTATTTGTCTACTAAATGTTAAGAATGAAGTTTTTTTAAGAAAAGAAATCGAATACTAAGGGAGAAAATACAACCACTGCTTCAAGCCTGAACCATTAATGAGTCTCACCTGCAATGAAGATATAGTTTCAGTAGCCTTGGTCCTATCAGCTAAAGCATCATTGAGTTGGCCTTCCAAATTCTCTATATTCTAGCAAACAGAAACAAACTTCAGGCAAACATTCTTCTAAAAACAGAATGGCAAGTAAAGCAACTGCATCTCAACAGTTGAAAAAAAATATGCCTTAAAAACAATTTACCTTCTGATGTTTAGCAGATAGTTCAGCTATTGAAGCTTGCCTTTTCTCTTCTGCAGATTGCAGCAGACCTCTCATGTCTTCTAACATCTGAAAATTGCAGTGTTATATACAATATGGGTAAAAAAGGAAAGAATATCATTTTTCAGCATGCATGAGTAAACAGAAAAGGTACAGACACAAAATGCTTGGAAGAGTTTAACAGAAACTAGAAAATTAGTAACTAAAAAGTAATTTGCTACTAAATTGGAGGAGATACATGCTGAAAAAAAAATTTGTACTAATGCATTAGTAGGAAAAGAATATGGCCTGGTGAAACACAACACACTGCATCTTAATTTGTGACAAGATATGACATAACACAAGTCACCAAAGATCCCAAACATAGTTATCATTGACACTGAAGTGCAGAAACTAATCTTGGTTGCAAATATAATAGGACTTAAGTGAATAAAGAGAAAATTGAGAGGTTTCAAAATAAATTATAGCTTTGGATGGGCATTAGGGACATCTACAAACAAAAATAGCCATGTTGTGTGAAGAGAAATTCTCATTCATGTGTGAAAAAATAGTTACAGGCCTATTTATACTTAGGACTAAGATTATAAGTAAAGACCTAAGCTACACTTAATCTCCTAAAATACACAACTAACAAGACAACAATGAGTTTATCATGAACATAAGATAGAAAACACACGCGTGCACACATGCGCACGCACATATACATATATATCTGTGCATGTTTGTGTGGCTATTGGTATATATATATATAAGCATATCATAACCATTCAGCACCTGCTCTTTCTCCAAAAGTGTCTGTTGTAATGCCTCAAGAGCATTCTCCTTAGGTTGAAATGAACGGCGCAACTCCTCAATATTGTCGCGGAGTCTGGAAATTACGTAATTGTTACTATTTGGAGAATAAAATGGAAACAAGAAAAAGATATGAAAAATCCAAATTCAACTATAGAGACATTTGTTCCCTTACCACCCCACAGAATAACATTAAGAGCCATATAATGCATGAGAAAGTCATGTAAGTAAGTTTCACCTATCATGGAGATTTATTCTAATAAGCTTACAGTACCTAACTAACTTTTATCAAGAGATCACAAGTTGACAGCAGTGATCAGGACGTTACCACAATTGTTCATTAATCTGCTTAAAATTAAAAAGTTTCAGCCGGAAAAATATGGAGAAGGATAAATTTTAGTCCTCATATTAGATCAGAAATGACAACTCTAGTGAATCCTCTCTCTCTGCCCTACCTAGAGAAGGAAGAAAAACACATGGCTGTTTATGCGCACAGAGGCACAAGCTGATGGAGAGTTTGCTAATAATTTAATGGGGACAGATATATAATGTAAAATCAATTATAAAGACAGTTTTCTCCATCAAATTTATCTAGAAGCGGAGTCACAAATTTGCAAGTGATGAACAGGCACAACATTCTGATATTTGAGCACAAATTATCTAAATGTGCAGTTTTTTTGTTTTCCTCCTTTTTTTTTCTTTTTTTGAGGAGGACAGAGAGGGATAGAGGAAGGGATTGACCAACGAATAGATAGAAAAAATGTAGCGAAATAAATATTTTACTTATTGTTGGCACTTCTTAATTGCTGCCTCTCTGCATCCATTGCTCTCAATGCATCATTCGCTTGTTGCCTAGTGCGCTCCAGCTCTTGCTGCAGTGCTGAATGCTGGGATGATGCTCGCTCGGCCGTTTCATTTACATCACGAAACCTGGCTTCGAGATCATCCTTTTCCTGAAAAAGATAATCTCAAAGCAACAATTGAACTCAGTTTCTGAACAATTACAAATAATCCCTTGAAAAGAAATATATTTCTTAGTAGAGTTGCAACCTTTAAACCACCCACAAAAAAAAAAAAAAAAAAAAAAAAAAAAAAAAAAAAAAAAAAGATTCAAATATCTAGAGGCGGAGTTCCAAATTATGCAAAGTGATGAACAGGCACAACTTCTGAATATTTTGAGCACCGCTAAATTAATCTAAGTATTGTGCAGTTTCTTTGTTTTTACCTCCCTCTTCCTCTCCTCTCTTCCGTTTTTTAGAAAGGACACGTAGAGGATATGAGACAATGATATGGATCCTCATCCACGTAGACTAGATTAGAATTCCAAATAAATGTAGCGAAATTAAGATTTTACTTTAATTAGATTGCTAACTTACTTAATTTGACTGCCTCCTCATGCCATATCCATTTGTTCATCAATTTGCCAATCATATCGCATTTAGTTTAGACCTAGTGACGCTCCAGCATCTTGCTGCTAGTGTCCTGAATGGCATGGTCCACAATGGATGATGGCATACGATCGTGCCGTTTCATTGTACATCTCACGATAACCTGGCTCTCGAGATACATCCTTTTCTCTGATAAAAGATTATCTCAAAGCAAACTATTTTGTAACTCTAGTTTCTGCTCATACAATCTCACAAATTTTAATCCTAATGAAAAGAAAATATATTCTCTTAGTACCCGTTAGTTGCAAGCCTTAAACTACCCACAAAAAAGAAAAAAAAAAAAAAAAAAATAAAAAGAAAAGAGAAAAGATAAGTATGGGATGCATGTGGACACTTGAAAAGCTAAATGATTTCCTCCTTCTATAAGTTTTCCATTTTTACCCATAAGACACATTAAGTCAAAATTCCTAATGGGGCCAGCTATGAGTGTGCAAAATAGGTTGTGTCATTCTAAGTACCTATGTTCCGCTCAAGCTCCCATTATTAGATTAAAGGTGCTCACCACTTCTGAATTAGTGTCTTTACTTGATTCCACTAGAATAATGTGATACTTAAAGGATAAAAAAAAAAAAAAAAAAAAAAAAAAAAAAAAAAAAAGAAAAAGAAAATGAGGAGGTGACACTTGAAAGCTAAATGATTTCCCCTTCCTAAAGTTTTCCATTAAACCCATGCACATAAGGGCAGTATGGTGAAATAGTTTTCAGTCTAGATTTGTCCCTCAGCCTCCATTATTAGATTTAAAGGCTCACACTTCTGTTTGTCTTTACTTGATTCACTAGAATATATACTAAAGGAAGAGACTTGCCATGGAAACCAGGGGGAGAGAGAGATAAGGAAGGAGGGAAGACTGTCCTAATCACTACGAATAACAAAGATTCACAAAATTTTTGCAATACACTTTCAGACAAGAAACAAAAAAGGATACTCATGTCCAAGATATAAAAGTGTTATAGGAAATGCTAAAGAAGCATTTTCCATTGAATTTAATAGAGCCTTTTTCATTGGTTTTTCTGTTTCCTCTGTTTTTGTCTGGATTCTGGAAAATGAATTCCCAAGAAGGTTCAATGACACAGTTCCAGAATGGTTCTACAAATGGACATGGAACCAGTCAAATCATTCACGTTTTCGTGAATTTAATAGAGCCTTTGTCATTAGTTTTTCTCTTTCCTCTATTTTCATCAGGAAAATGCATCCCCAAGAAGGTTCAATGACAGTTTCAGAATGGTCCTATGAATGGATATGGAACCAGTCAAAACATTCATGTGCTCGTGTCTGAAAAATGTGAATAAAAAAGTAGATAACATTTTATATTAACTCAAACATCTCTAGCCCTTTCGATTTGGACAGATAACAGAGTATACACTATCCTTCTTTCCTCCATTTTACTCTACATATAATAGTAGTTTAAAACACAAAATAAGGGTGTGCAAGGAAAATGATCCAGAGACAGAAGTTACCTTCTGAACCTCTTGAATCCGCTGTTTCGCTCGTTTATGAAGCCTTTGAAATTTGGAATCGAGCTCAGAGTACTTCTCTTCACGCTCTTTTATTTCTTGATCCAACTTCTGTTGAGCTACCCAAAGAAACCATGCTATGTATTTAGAGTTTCAACAAAGAAGGATAAAATGATTGTGATATTATTCCTCAAACTACTAAACTTTAGCATCGTGCAATGCAGCAATTGCAACAACTTCCTTTTCTTATTTAAGATTTTCACAAAACAACATAGAGCACAAGCCTCTGTCCAACAGATATAAACATTTGTTTCCATCAACATCAATACAATTTCATCGGTATTGAAGATAATATAAAAAATCCCAAATAAACAGACAGAATCCGACCTTCAGTAAGCTTTGTGAGGAGCTCCTGGGCTTTTGCATCCGCTTCAGAGTATGCCTCACGAAGATGATTCAAAGCCACCTCTGCAGCACCACGTGTTTGTTTCTCTTCACTAAGTTCTCTACTCAAAGACTCAATCCTTTGACGAAGTTCTTCCACATCAGTAGATCCCACAGTTTTCTGATCACTTACTTCTGTTCTCTGTTGTGACTCCTCACTTGCTGATTGATTATTTTTCAAACCCTCAAATTGTGATTTCAAGAACTCATTCTGAAACTTAAGCTCAATAACCATTTGTACAAGCTGCTCCTGTGTATTTTCTACCAATGGAATGCCATCATGCAACCCATTTTCCTTCACAAGATTTTCATTCTTTCCATGGGGTATATCAGACAACTGTTTCTCAGGATCCAAAGGAGAATCTTCTGTCTGAGTTTCCGTTGTTTCACCAACATTGCCTTCCCCCATTGACATTGTAGCAATCTTTGAGAACAACTATATTTCCCAACTTCTAAACTCTCACCTGTTAAAAACAAGTGGAAGAACTAAAACAGAGGGTATATCACTGTAACTGTAACCATATAATCCACTCCATGGCATAGTAATGACAAAGCAAGCTAAACAAAAACCAAAACAGAAAAGTCAGAGAAGAAACGGCATTACAATTAGAACATGAGAGAAGCACAGAAACACCAGATATGAGAGTTATCGCAATCCTAACACAGCTAATTACGGACTTTTATTACTTCACAGACATAAAGTTACTTCTGCAACTGAATTATGCAAATTTGACACAAATCGCTCATATGTCGAATAATTTAGATAGAAATAAAATTGAAAATAAGCAAATGGAAATTCATTGGATCTTCTTTACATTTGAAAATTCAATAGCTACAAAACGCAGGAGATCCAAACTCATCTAGAACTAATCAAATTTATAAATAATCAATATACTGAGTTAAAGTATAAAACAAAATACCAATATGAAGAGGGAAATGCAGTGACTCTACCTGTTCTTATAACCGTATAACGGGAGATCTATCAAGTTAAAATCCCTAATCTTGGTTCAATTTTAATTAGGGAATTCAATTGGGATTCGATCAACAATGGACATGGATGAAGATCAGAAGATGGGATCTGAAGCTGTCTACTATCTAGCGCGCGAGGGCCGATTAGAAAACGTTGCCGTTTTTACACGCCCCCTTGTTTCCTTTCCTGCACATGCGCAGGGCAGTTTTGTTATTTTGATTTTTGAGAATTGTGGAATTTCATAATTATGGTTCCGTCATTTGGAATATTCAGTTTCATTCATTTTCAGTTAGGTTAATTTATGTTTCCCGGTGGGCTGGGCCTTAAGTACAGCCCACTTTCATTTGTCCGTTAAAATGTGAACTCCTGAGTAGTCCTGCCATCCTGTTTTTCTTTTCTATTTTTTTTTTTTTAATAAAAGTCTCCTGTATTAAAAGTTAAAACTAATGTTGGTCGAGCATTTGGATGATTCAGTTTAAGTTTAAACCAAACCAAATTACTATGAAAACCAAATGAACCGAATCAATTTGATCTTTATAATTTTTTTTCTGATTTTATATAATAAAATTAGTCTACACACTTTTTTTTTTCATGGAGTAAGAAGTCTCTGTTCCGAGTCTTTTTATGATAAGAATTTTCACCGATTTGCGTGCATTTCACAGCAGTATATGCTAGCCCATGAACCATTGAACAAAGAAAATCGAAAAACCATACCAATTTTTCATAACCAAACCCATCAGGATGAACGTTTAGGCCTTTATTTATAGTAGAAACAATACAGAAACCAGGTTCTCCAGCTAAAAACCTGTTGAACCTTGAATAATAATGGCAAGAGAGCTCAACGTCTCAGCCTAGGTATTACAAGCGTGTGACTACAAATGATTACTCATTACAACACCATATTAAATTTAATCTTTAGCTATCTTTTATGAGGTTCTGTTTCTCCTGCGGTTCACTCTTGAACTTGCATCGATAGAGAAGGTAAATGATTACATAAATCTCTCAAGTTTCTTTGTCTTTTTTCCCCTGATCAAGACCTCCTGAAAAGAATTATTTTTGATTCAGTAATAAATATGAAAAAAGAATGTAGTAAAGACTACACCGATATTTGTATGCTCGATGCTTACCAAAAAATAGAATTAGTGAGCACCTAATCCAGAGGTTTTAATTAAAGCTCTGAGAAAAGCAATGACATCCCAAAATTTGATAGCTTTCTTGAATTTTTTAAAAACCAAATGAAATAGTGTAGGAAAAAAAAAAAAACACAGGCTTGCACTTACCACTTGATATTCCCTCTTTAAAAGTAACAGCAACAAGTTTAAAGAATTCTTTCGAGGCATCTGCATATTCAAACATTATTCACAATAAGAATCTACATCTTTCGATCATATTTTAAATGCCAATCTCAACTCACATTGAGGAACATAGGCATATAGTTCACATAATATACTGTTTTCTTCTGTCAACTGTCTTTTACTGTTCCAATAGTGGTTTTAAATGCTAATTCTGTCGTGAATCTCCCATACCATCCTCCATATTAACCAGGAACTATCAGGTCCATAATTTTGGCCAAAGCACTCTTTCATAAATCTAATCATTTAATAAGAATTTCTATATGCTCGCTAAACTTGAAAGGCAGTTTTGTTCTGTAACACTAGCAATTTTTCAGCTTATAAATGATAAACCATTAAACCAAAACAAAATGAGCGTATGCCTATCTCATAAGAGTTTTAGCTAAATGCTGGAGACAGAACCTTCAGTCGCAATGGAAATTGTAGATTTCTGAAGAGAAGTGATGACTATAAGTCTATGCTCATGCACATTACATACCATGCTTCATTGTAAGAGATGGATCTTTCCCAACCACATATCCTATCAACTTTGCTGGTGTTCCTGCCATCATGCTTGAAAACAGCACCCGAAAAAAGAAAGCACAAAACCCAGATTATCATTATGGTTAAAGTAATTTTACAAAGTACTGCTTTGGACAATGCTGATAAATTAGGAATTGGTATCCTACCTGTGTGGGTCAACATTTTTTAAGACAAGAGAACCAGCAGCTATCATTGCCCCTTCACCTATTTTTATATTCCCAAGTATCGTTGCACATGCTCCAATCAGTGCACCATCACCTACTTTGGGATGGCGATCACCAACTTCTTTCCCAGTCCCTCCTAAAGTAACACCCTGCAAACATCTTAATTATAAGCATAATACAATCTCAAATAAACAAGCTGTTGGAGACTAGGACTTGGACAGATTTATATGGATTGATTATTGAATGAATTCCACTGACTAGCAGTCAGTAAAGGTTTGAAATTTGACATTTTTTTTTGGGAGAGAGAATGCCTTTTCTCAATGGGCCAGAAAGGCAGGCATTAAAAAGCTCTGACGAAAAGGAATTTATGACATTTCTGAACAACAAATTTATACCAACAAATAACAAATGTGAAAATGAAAAAAAAAAAAAAAAAAAAAAAAAAAAAAAAAAAAAAAAAAAAAATTCTCAAGGAGAGATGTGGAAGCACTTCAGAAAAGCATTTATACCTAACTAACCAGGTAAACTGCATAGAACAATGTTGAAAAAAAAAAAAAAAAAAAAAAAACTTCTCAAGGAGAGATGTGGAAGCACTTCAGAAAGCATTATACCTAACTAACCAAGGTAACTGCATAGAACAATGTGAAGACAACCACACGAACTATGAGTTAAATAATAGCAAAAGTGAAGAATGAGGCTGACTCACATGCATCAATGAGACCCTGTTTCCTACAACAGCAGTTTCCCCAATAACAACACCAGTCCCATGATCCAATAATATCCCCTCTCCAATTTTGGCAGCTGCAAAGTGAATGGAAATGATATAATATACCCTTAGACAATAGCAAGAAATAATCTTCATTGTTTGACAAAAAAACACAAAGGCAAAAAGCACTATTCAAGGATAAAATTGATTAATCTTCAACTTGTTCTTTTGATTTCAGCAAAGTTTTCTTAGCAATATAATATACAACTACTTTCTACAATTGGTACCAGCCAATTACACATGAACGGTGCCACTCTAATTTTACTCAGTCTCAATGATATGCATATTGATGAAAATGGCATAGGACATGTCAGAAAGAAAAGAATGTACCTGGATGTATGTCAATTCCAAAAACCTGGACAAAGTAAGCATAGTGTTACAAGGATATAAAACAAAACTTGGAACCAAGAAACCTATGGTGTTACTATTAGTTACTGTAATGCCCATATGAAGTGTCAGACAAGTATGGAACTACCTCACTGATTCGACTTTGTAATGCCAAGGCCAATATTTTTCGCCCCTGGTTCCACAACACATGTGCTACTCGATAGGACTGCAAAGAATGGTAACCCTGAAAAGCAAAATAACTAGTCAATTGATAGTCAGCTTGTCTATTTTAGTTCCAACACTTCATAACCATACAAGCAATAAGATAGAATTATCATATCAAAGAGCCAACAACCCCTACAAAAAATTAATTTAAAATAAGAAAACAAAATATAGCAGTATTAAAGTAAAGAGACACTTCTGATCTCTGAAAGGGAAAAGAAAAATACCTTAAGATATAATAATGTTGAACAATATGATAAACAAGCAGGATCCCGGTCTTTGAATGCCTAGAAAAAGGAAGGAAGATGCGGTAAATTACAATCACATTCACCACTTGTATCAATGAATGATCACCAACAGGGAATGAACATATTCTGTGAATTACAAATTAAATTACCTGCATGTCTAGGCGAATTGAATGCTTAATACGTCTATCATGCATTATTACATGAGAAATTATATCTAACAATTGAGTTGCCAACAAAGTAGGATTTTGAAGCCGATTCGCGAGAACAAATGCCAATGCTTGCTCCAAGCGATCATGGGATAAGATACTGGCATACAAGAAGCTACTTAGTATGGGTTCTTTTTCTGCCTGCAGGATTACATGAAAGCTATAGATGTATGAGAATTATCAAACAAATAAATCCTCAGACACAAAACAGTTCGTATATTGTTTTCGGTTCCACCCATTTGTCTGAATCATAAAATTCATATATTCATCCAAAATAATCAAAGCAGCAAAGAATACCCCTCCCTATCTCCAAAATAATAACAGAAGCCTGTATGATCAATCATGCTTCAAGGATGCATTGATTTTAAATTCAATATGAATTTAGAAAGGAACAGAAACAAATTACTAAAAATTATCAAAATGGATTTATTTATTAAATCTTTTAGGCAACACTTGATATTCTCTCACTGTGTATTTATGATATTACTGGTTTAGACACACGTAGCAACCATAGTACTATTGTTCTTGCAGCAACTATAAGATACACAAACACATCACTAGAAGTTTTATAATAGCTAACTATACATTACATCAAAACTTGAAGTACTACCACCAACCCGAATGAATTGAAACTCACAAGTTGGTGGTATAGTAATGATTGAAAACTCGATTGATTTTCCACGCTAATCAAGCAAATCTAATTTCCATGAAAGGGTAAATCAATCTATATAAGATTGAATATTAAAACTCAAAATAAACACTGTACCAAGGACAAGGTGCCATGCAAGAATTTCACATAATTAAGCCTATAAACCTTAACTTCACCGCACAAAATTAAAAAAAAAAAAAAATCCTTTCTTTACCGATACATAACCAACCCAATAACAAAAGCAATAAAAAATAACGAAGTGAGTACCTCCAACTTAGCCTCTTCTCTCACAGCGTCCCAAATCGGGTCGCCCGAATCACCAGGCGATACAACAAACTCGGAGTCTGGCTTCGAAAACCCCATTGCATAAACTGGAAAGACCTTCTCAATAGGAAAAGGAGTAGAATTGGCCTCTGCTTCTCCATTTTCTTGGTTGTCTTTCAAAGATAAGCGCCTGGAGAGCATTTCAGGAAGAGAAGAAGAAACCCAGCAGCTCTCCTCGCTTAAACAAGCCATGAGAAGAAGAAGAAGAGAAGCTATGGATTGATTGATATAGATAAGAAAGATGACATCTCATGAATATTTTTACGAATGAGAGGGAGACGGCTTAGAAGAGCAGCTAGCCAGGTTTCATTATGCTGTTAGTTTTGGAGAAAGAGGGAATGCAGGTGAGAGGGATATAAAGATGTGAGCGAGAGCTACTCTTGTCTATGAGTAGCGGAGTGGTGGTGGCTTTACTTTTTTTTCAGTTTTTCTATGCTTCACAAATATATGCCTCTATCAATTTTTATTTATTTTTTATTATTATGTAAATACCAAAATCAAGTATAAAGTAGTTGATGCATGAAATTATATCCTAGGACAACTTTAGGACATAGTAATTTATCCTAGTAACTTTTTTTCTTATTGGGGATCTAAAATCATTTTTTATTTGATATATAATAATAATAATAATAACAATGTAAATTCCTATAGGCAAAAATTCTAGTGGAGGACTAAATTATTTTCAACTTTTATTATTTCTTGTCATACTTACCTCTTCCATGGATATTTTTCTTTTATATCCAACTCTTACCTTTATGAAAGTTAACCATAGAATTCAAGTATTTTCTTAATGTATAGTTAAAAATATTATCACTTAAAAAAAATTATTTTTTGTTGGTTTTGAGTGCGCTGGTAGACCACATTTAGATAAGTTGATCTCTTCTTTTAATTGATTATATTAGGCAATGGCTATTCAATTAACTTTTAACGTTTTGACTAAATATTATTTTTATAGTGTTTGATAACATAGCGTTTGAACTAACTTTTAGATAGCATTTTATAAAATATTAACCCTTTAGCTTTAGTGTTTTATGAAAAACTAGCTTTTAGGTAGGGTTTGATAAAATGTTAACCCTTTAGCTTTAACGTTTTATAAAAAAACTACTCAAATAACTAATAATTAAATGCTGCTAAAATAGCTAATTTTGCATCTTAGATTAAACTTGTCTATAATGAATTATGACCTTAGATCGTATCTGAAACGACCCGAAAATTTAATTTCGTAGAATTTTCATTTAAAAATTAATTTTTTTATTTCAACCAATGAGATTATACCACTAGTATTTTATTATTGCTAAACTGGACCTTAAAAATTAATTTTTTTTATTTCAAACCAATGAGATTATACCACTAGTATTTATTATTGCTAAACTGGACCCATTAAATCAATTTGATTTTTTTTGAAAACCAAGCGAAAAACTCGAAATCAAGCAAAATTGAGCCCAAATCATAGAATTAGCCAAACCGGTTCGAATTCGAAACCGGCAATGGTCTAGAAAAGCTTTAGAATTCTCCTTCTTCTTTTTTTCTTCTTTTTTCTTTTCTCTCGGGGAACAGCGTCGACCCACCCTCCTCTTCTCCTCCTCTCGTTTTTTCGAACCGCCGAGGGACAGTGCCGGATTCCGCCTTCAGCCAATTTGCCTCCCTGCCGTGCGCCTCCTCACCGCAGCGTCTCCGGTATTCTCTCCCTTTCTCCGCTCTTTTTCCGTTCGTTTCAGCGCAAGACCAAATGAGAAGCAGGAGGCTGTGTAATCGCGAATCGAGCCTCCACCCTGCGATTCCGGCCACCTGAGTGTGAGTCACGTCGACCTAGCTCCTTGCTCCGTTCCTTCGCCGGTTCAATTTTCTCTTCCCTCTCTTCCGGCGAGCACAGTAAGAGGTGAGCTGCGATTTCACTTCGATTGGCGGACTCCTTCAGCGCTAAACCTCTGCTTCTCCGGCTAAGACCAACTTAAAACCGGCCGATTAGACCCTTCCATTGCTGCTTAACACTCGCCGGCCACTGTTTTTCGGTCAGTTCCGATCAAGCTAACGCCGGCAGAGCTGGATTTCGGGTTTTGGGTTACCACCGATGACTTAAACCGGAAATTATTCAACTTCCGATGCCATTTTTGTAGCCAGGTAAATTAATTTCAAACCCCGTTTCAATACATTTTCATTGATTGATCATGATTTTAGGAGAGTTGATATTAGGAAATGGGAAATTTCTTAGCTACTGTTATGCAAATTAACTAGAAATGTGATAAATATTATTAATTGGGAAGCTACAGTCTAAGTTTTGGATAAGTTAATAGGAATATAGATAAGTTAAATAGGATATATATACTATATTTGCTAGACCATTGAGGAAATTTTGATTTAAAAATGAAAGATTTGAAGCATAAATTAAGCTATTGCGGAAAATTTAGACCCTAGCTTTTATTGTTTATGCATTCTTTGAGGGAATTTGGTTTTTTTTTAATTTAGTCTGAATTAATAGCTAATTTAATGGGTAAGCATGAATAAGGAGATTTTAGTTTAGAAATAAGTATGGCGTGAGGGTGGCAGCAACCAATATTGTTAATTGGTTGAGCTATTGTTGAACTATAAACCAAATGAAGTCGTGAATTAAATTCTTAGTGCGGTAAGCATAGTATATAAGTTTAAGCAAGGGAGAACCTAGTTGTTTGATGGGCAAGTAAGCTTATTGCAGATAATTTGATACCATTTTATATATAAAAACTTAATGTAATAATGGACGTTACATATTAATTTTCAAGTTTTTATATGATTAGTATTGGTTATATCTAGAAAGGGAATTTTTATGGTCAAGATGGAGAAAGATTCTGAAGCTTAATTGTATATAGTTAAGTGTTATTTGGGTTTACTTAGAATATTGCCTTTATTAATTGTTAATTTAATTGGAACCATCGGTTTCTTAATTAGCTAGTTTAGATTTCATTTATTTGTCAATTAGCTAAAGAAGCTGATTATATTTATGTGAAGCAAAGAATGTTCAGTAATATTATTGGAACACGTTTGAAGGTTATTATACGTTGTGAATTAATAGTTGAATGTTGACATTATTATTTGGATGGAGGAAGGAAAATTTAACTGTTTGATCGCCCGACGGATGGGCTGTATGCATTGAATGATTAATATATATATTATTGTGATATTTGAGTAGGTAAATAGCCCAATTTTTAGGGGAGGTGTTGCCGAAATTTCGATAGAACTTAGACTAGTTTTAGTTAACAATATAAAGTAATAAGTTTATTTAGAATAATTCTATAACACTTGATACATTAATAAATAAAGTATTTCTAATTATTTTACTATCATCACTATTTACTTAATTATTCAAGTTACTTATTTATTTTCATATTATTATTATTTCTATCATTGTTGTTATTGTTAATATTATTTATTTATTTGCATTTGAGTATTGAATGTCTAATTGTGCATTGCATTCCGATGTTACTGCAATTATTTTCTGCAATTAATTGCAATTGCTTGATTAGTTTGTGAATTGTGACAATGCCTTGCTTTGTTTGTGTGGAATTGGATGAAGTGGGTCACCAGGGTTTGTAGAACTGTTTCTGTTATTACGGATCCTATTTCTGATTCTGTTATATTTCTGATTCTGTTATATGATTCCTGATTCTGTTTCTGGTAGCCGGGTAAAGGAGAGATCGGCGCCCCGTGTGCACCTACGTTTACCGTGTACCTGTTTAACCACAGGTTGGTCTTCTTTATTGGGCGCCACCGGATAATCTAGATTTTGATCGCAGCCCGCAGGGTGGCCTCCTGTGTTGAGCGCCTGATGATCTAGATTTGATGGAGACGACCCGGGTTGCCTCCTGTTGGTTATTGGAAAAGGAAAAAGAGAGAATTGGAAAAATAATGAGAGTGCTGGTCAAGTGAGGATTAGACCGGTCGGCCAGTATGGGGGATCGGCTCCCTCGCGTGCACATGTGAGCAGGATGAGCCATGTGGTGAGGACGGCTTCATCGGGGTGTTCGTGATCCACTGACTAATTTTCCCACGTGATTTGTGATTATATGAAGATGTTATAATTGTACTAGTCTTAGTTAACAATATAAAGTAATAGGTTTATTTAGAATAATTCTATAACTTAATACATAGTAAATAAAGTATTCTAATTATTTTACTATCATCACTATTTACTTTATATTGTTAACTATTATTATTCATTAATAAACTCACATCTCTTTTGTTCAAATCTTTCAGGAAGTAGCATTTTCTAAATCCTAGCTATAACTCTGCTCTTTGCCCTTAAAAAAGAAATTCGCTAATTTTAGTATTGATCAATTAAATAGATAAATGTCCGAAGACTTATATGTATACATCCGTCAGTAAACTCCGCAGTTATAGACTTTGTATACTTTTAAGTGTGTATTAATTATAGATTGGAATAATCTGTGAGCCTGTATTAACTATAGTGGTATTGTTAAGCAGGGAAATTTTCGTAAAAATGTTTAAAATTTTACTGAGATTAGCAAATTTTGCTAGTGTTCAGGCTTGCTACGGGCCTCGGGGCCTTAAAGCTTACCTGGGCCCTAGTGCCGGTCCGGGCCCATGGAAATGGGTTCGTGACAAAGTTGGGTATCAGAGCTTTAGGTTAGGGTTCTAGGACACAAACTGCGGAGGTTATAGCGAAATTCTTTATGTTGGGGATCGGCCGTAACCAACATAAGGAAGGAAACTTGTGATTTTCCTCCCTAAGGATTAGAGTAATACCTTGATGGTTAGTGATTGCCCCTGGATCAACCCTTAGTACATACTTTTTTCATGCGAGCCTATTCCTATAGTGAAATAGGATGGTGTAGAGAATAAAATTAGATTTTCATTGGTGGGGCAGATTTATAAACATAGGAAGTACTCTTAAGGTAACTAGGACTATCTGATCAAATATTCAGCTCAGCTACTGAATTTCTTTAGAGTTTATTCAAAATATGAACTTTCTATTATTTTATTTACTTGATATTTAAATTTAAAACCCCATTTGATTATTGGATTTAAATTGTGTTATGACAAATAATCTGAAATTGATTAATTATGTAAAGTCATTTTCGTAAGTTGTCTATTTATATCACAAGGCCAGTTAGGTGAAATAACAAGGTGAGTTGATCATGAGTGTGGTTAGAACTTAAAAAGAAAGTTTGAGGAGAACAAGATAAAAGATAGTAATGAGAAATGGTGATGTTAATAAGAAGTAAGTAGACAATTAGTAGTTGAATTAAGGACACAAATGTTGGAAAAGTTTGAGGAGACGACTTTAGTTTAGAAGCTAAGTTGCAAAATAAATGGAAGGAATAACATTAGGAATGGACTTGAATGGTTTAAGGGTATAGAAATGGTATATATAACAAAGTGTAATATATGTTAGGGAGCAAGTGGTAGAACAAATCAAAGTAAAATTTATAATATTCTTACTCGACTTGAATAAAGAGAAATATTGTTTTGATTTTAAGGACAAATTGAGATAGGTAAGTTAAATATAAAGTTGACTCAAGTTAGTGGATAGGTAGACGTATGGCTAATTAAGCACTTTTAAATTTAAACTTCTAAGACCTTATAGTTTAGGAAAATCACCATGACATGGACAGAAAAAGTGAGAAGTTATTAGTATATATGCATTAGGCGATAAAAAGCGGATACATGAGATTGTTTGATGTGATATTGGGTGTTAAGATAGCATTAGGTCAGGACTTAAGAAATTTTATAGAAAGACATTTGTATTGATGTGTAATTGATAAAAGCGTATAGTTAGAGTAAATAATAAGTTTTTAGATTCGAAATGTGGTGATTAGATTAGATTCACGATTAACAATGATTAATAGAGGAAATAATTAATAAAATTACTCTAATATATTCTAGAATTGATTAATAGGCCAAACATAAGCACAATGTAAGGTTATCAAATGAGATTTTGGGTATTAACTGAAATTTGAACAATTAAAAAGATGTTAATTATGAAAGTCGATTTAGTGGTAAAGTATTAAGATAACTTGAGAATAAGTACCCAGAAAGAGACGCTGGCGGTAAGTGGAAGGAGTTGAAAAATTTTTATAGGAGTGGAATAGTAGGGGGGGCCACAGTGATCTAGGAGGCTATATAACAGAATTGAACTAGTCGAACTAGTCTATGGTAAAGATATCATAGGGACAATCGAATTGGTATAGATGAGAAACAAAGACAGTTATTTCGAAGTGCCCTATGATATAATAGACAACAGAAGTAACAGACAATTTTTCTTAAAGTTTTGAATTAAAGTAATAAGTTTTTGAATATTTGATCAATAAGAGTTTTAGTAAGTATATATGTAAATTAAATGATATAATTTTTATCACTATATATAAAATCAAATTTCAATTAATCGCTTTTTGTAAAATTATATGCTTGGTTTTCATGAAGGAATGTTTAAATTTTCAAATGAATCATATAATCTTGAATATATATATATACACATATAAATGTGCAACTTACTGCTAAACCGGTTTTAAGATAATATATTATTCAAAGAAAAATTTTCTAAAGATTTCAGTAGCTGTCTGAAACTAGTAATTGGAGATTTGGGTAATAAATTTAAGGTTCTTGTAAGTTTTAGCTAGGTGGCTAGTTTAAGGGGTTGAGTTATAATGAAACCATCCATTCCATTATTCATTGGGATGTCAATCAAATTTGGATACATTTGTTTGTAAATAATCCTAATGGCTTTCTTTTTCTAGTTGCATTCCTATTCTTGCTTAAAAAATAAATTTAGTAAAGATAAAATTTAAAATTTTAAAATGCTTAATGAAACAATGCGAAATTTTATTTTCAAAATTTTTCATTTAAAAATTTAATTATTAATTCTAAGCCAATGATATTATAGAACGTTATTATATGTAAAATAATTAAATTAATCCATTGTGAATTTATTTAACAAAAATTAAGATATACATTTTTATATATGTTAAACCAAACCTCTTAACCAATATAAACTAATTACAAACCCCAAACCTATTTAGGAAACCCATAAACCAATTAAAATCAAACAAAATCCACGATTTGGAACCGGAACCAAATCGGACCGAAATCACTCTAGAAACGCTAGAAGATTGCAAAATTACTGTTTGGCCATTTTATCCCTCCTCCCTCTCTTTTACAGCGACAGACTCCCCTCCCCCTTACCCCCCCTTTTTTCTGATCACCTGAGACCATCGCCTCCCTGCCGCTGCCGCCTCCTCACCGCAGCATCTCCGGTCTCTCTCCCTCTCTCCGACTTTCCGTTCGATTTCAGCGCAAGTCAAAGAGAAGCAGGAGGCTGTGTAATCGCGATTGGAGCTCCACCTGCGATTCCGGGCACCTGAGTGCGAGTCACGCCGACCTGAGCTCCTTGCTCCGTCCCTTCGCCGTTCATCTTCTCTCTCCTCTTCCGGCGAGCGCAGCAAGAGTGAGCTGCGATTTCACTTCGATTGGCAGACTCCTTCAGCGCTACCCTCTGCTTCTCCGGCAAGACCAACTAAAGACCGGCCGATTAGACCCTTCCCTTGTCGCTAAAAGCTTCGCCGGCCACTGTTTTCGTCAGTTCCGATCAAGCTAACGCCGGCAGAGCCGGATTTTGGGTATTTGGGTTACCACCGATGACTTGAACCGGAAATTATTCAACTTCCGATGCATTTTGTAGCCAGGTAAATTAACTTTCAATCCTTTTCAATACATTTCATGAATTTTGATCATGATTAGGAGAGATGATATAGAAATGGAAATTTTTAGCTACTGTTATGCAAATTAACTAAGAAATTTTGATAAATATTATTAATGGGAACTACAGTCTAAGTTTTAGATAAATTAAATAGGATATATATACTATATATGCTAGACCATTGAGGAAATTTTGATTGAAAATGAAAGATTTGAAGCATAAATTAAGCTATTGCGGAAAATTTAGACCCTAGCTTTTATTGTTTATGCATTCTTTGAGGGAATTTGGTTCTTTAATTTAGTCTGAATTAATAGCTAATTTAATGGGTAAGCATGAATAAGGAGATTTTAGTTTAGAAATAAGTATAGCGTGAGGGTGGCAGCAACCAATATTGTCAATTGCTTGAGCTATTGTTGAACTGTAAACCAAATGAAGTCGTGAATTAAATTCTTAGTGAGGTAAACATAGTATATAAGTTTAAGCAAGGGAGAACCTAGTGTTTGATGGGCAGTTGCTATTGCAGATAATTGATACCATTTTATATATAAACTAATGTAATAATGGATGTACATATATTTTCATTGTTTTTATATGATTAGTGTTGGTTATATCTAGAAAGGGAATTTTTATGTCAAGATGGAGAAAGATTCATGAAGCTTTAGTTGATATATAGTTAAGTTGTGAATTTGGTTACTTAGAAGATGCCTTTATTAAATTCTAATTTAATTGAACCATCGATTCTTAATAGCTAGTCTAGAATTTAACAAATGTTTAAGGGCATAGAATCCAACATGAGAATTTTAGTCATGAACTGAAATCTAGTTGTTTAATTCAAACTTACTTATGTATTCGTTATTGTTAATTCACATAATTTCAATTGCCGATATGAGAATAGTTATATATTTGATGGACGTGAACCACTTGGTTTATTTTCTTGGTTTGTAAATTTAATGTTAAATGACTAGTTACCTAAAAAATGAATTTGAATACCAAATTAATGGGAGGAATGAGGTTACTTATATTTGTTATCCTGTTTACTGAATATATGTGTATTGGAGAAGTAAGTATGAGATACCTCTGATATGGTCGAATTGAGTTGGAATGCGAATAGATATTAGATAAATGTTTATGGCAGGTGCAAATTGATATTGATATTGATATTAGTTAATGTTATAAACTAGACCATTCGTTAATAATAACTAACTTTTATTGAGTTTCTTTGCTTCCCAATTAATTTTATTTATTATCTTGTGATATCTCGTGTATTGCCTTGGAAACCTTGTCTTAGTGAGTATGAGAATCTATATTTTATTTTGAGAAGTTCCACACCAGTAATACTTTTCATTATCTATTTTTGAAAGAAGAATTTTATAAGTGGTATTTATATTTTCCTTTTCTTTAACTATTTTATTTAATTGGTGATTTGGTTGTTTGGTGTTTTTATATATTTCTTTTGTTGCAACCACCATATGACAACATCGAGCAAAATATCCTCCCATCACTTATTCTAACACATGAGTAAATGAATTATGCACTTTATTTCCTAAGCTGTTCAGGATAGTACACTATTGGTATATGTATATTCAACTTTACTAGTTTATTTGTTATTTGTAAAATATTTATCATTTTTCAACCTTCCTTTATTATACCATATTAAATGCCATATATGTAAATCGTCTTAAAAAATGCATAATTAATAAAAACGACGTAATTAATGTTCAAGTTTTATTAGCACATTAACTCACATAATTTAATAGTTTAATAATCATATGAAAAAAAGCAAATACAAAATTTAAAGAATTAACTAAAAATATAAAATTAACTCATTTTACAATGACTAAAAAAAGAACCCTATACATGTAAAAAGTAATACTGAAATTTCTCTTTAATTTTTTATTTTCTATTTGAACCACATAACGAATTTTTTTATTTTTGGAAATTAATATGTAGTAAAAAAGAATTTTAAAAAATTTAATTATATTAATTATATGTCATTAAATATTGATACAGATTTTATATATCAATAAACAGATATTATTAAATATAATTTTTTTAGTTTTCCAATTTACTATATTTTGATTAGATAATGTATTTTTTAAGATTTATATAAAAATCAATATGCGGCTATTGTAATTATTTTATTCTCAATAAAAATAATGCTTTAATTTTATAAAAATCTAGATAATATAAAAGAAAAATATTTGATATTTATAAAAAAATGAATGAGCATAACCAATGAGTAAATAATGAACTTAAGAAAACTAGTGTGAGATTCTTAAAAAATAGTGTAAGATAAATATGGTTTAAGGGTTTAGTTTGGTTTATTTCTTTTCTTTTTTTTTTTTTTAAAGTAGTTTTATGGTTTCAAATATTGTCATTTTGGCTTTGTAGGAAATACGTTTTCGTCTTTGTATTGGTGCCTCTCTCCAGCTCTCCTATTTTTCTGGGTGTCAAGTCTTGTGATTGAGGTATTTCTTTAATTCTTTCAGTTGTATAGCTTACTGATTTTTTTTTTTTTTTAGTTTTTGATTCTACAAAACTGGAAGTTTATTACTCTTGCTTTCCACTTCTTTTTGTCGAAATAACACTTGTATGGGGAGAGGATAACATTCCAGCCCACAGGTTCTTGCTAGATTCAAATCTAATACCTCTATTTTTTTTTTTTTTTTTGAGCAAAAAGACATAGTACTAGTAACGTGGACGTGGGAGCAACCCATATCAAAAGTACATATGCAAATGCAATTCAGACTTCACTAGAGGCTTTATGAACATGGTCATGAATATGGCTAGAGACATTCTCAAATGTATTATTCCTGCCTCAAATCATTCGTGTCTGAAAAATCTTATATAATATATATAGTGCTCTGACTCATATTTGTATTCTTTCCCTAACAAATGCAAAGTATTAAACTTTATTGTTTTTGTTTTGAGGTTGTGGTGGACAATCCATTTTTGTTTTCCAATGCCATTTTGCGGAGCGGATGCGCCTACAAAATGCCGCATCAAACGTTCAATCATTCTCGTATAAAGTCGTCGGTTTGTATAATATAAAGTGATTATATTTAAAATTATATTATGATAAACATAATATTTATATTTATATTAAAAATGTAATTTTCTAAATTTGAGTTAGTCTAAACATTGTTGGGTAGTGATATCTATTTTAATAGTCGTTAATCGTTCTATTAGCCGTTAACTTGTGATGGAAAAAAAAAATTAACTAAATTTTGTGAATGCAAAATAACATTTCATAAAAAAATCTTTTCAAATTTTAAAAATTATTATAAAAGCTAAAATTAATATAGATTGAAAATTGACTTAATCAAGACACTAAAAGTTAACTCAAAAGCTACTGTTAGACATGACTTAAGTACATTAATTGAGCTCAGCCTTCTTAAACAAGTTATATTGAATTTGATTTGGAGCATGTGTAAAATTCACTTAAAAGTAAGAATAGAATCAAAACTAGTATTTTTAGAGTACTTATCTCATTTTGATCGGTTCAATGAGAATATAGGTAATTGTAAATGAGTTTTTGAGTTTAAGACAAGTACGAGTAGCGAATTACTATTTGTGATGATACTTGTAGGGTATATGTATAGATTTTTGAGTTCATGCTACTCATTATTTACTATAATAAACGAGTTTGGTCATGTCTATTCCTAATAAAAAATGTATTTTAAATAAGTTCGGATTTGAATACTTGAGAATGTATTCTAATTTTCTCTTTTAAATAGGAAAATGTTGTCTAGACATTAATAAAATTTTTCTTTTTGTCAAAAAATTAATAAAATCATTATAATTTGATAACCCATTTATTAATCCAATGACTATTAATATTCACAATTACCAATTATCACTGATCACCATCGATATAACTATAATAATCGGTTACTACTCACCATCAACTGTCATAATTTATTATTTTTATATATTTTATCATATTTAATAATAAAATTTTTATAATTCTAAATATTATTATAGACTTATAAAAATAAAATTTTAACATATATTTAATATTCTTTAAATTGTAACTTAATAACAATTATTTTCTGAAAATAAACGAAGTATTATTAATATGAATCATATACGTCTAGTTTAAAAAAATTCCCCGACCCTAGAATTCTTTATTGGGCCCAGTTTGAGTATTGATGCTTGAACCCATATTCTGGCCGAGCTTGGCCGATGATTCCTGACCCAGTGCTCGAACTCTTGTTTATGCGCGTCTATATTGGCTGCTGCTGCGCCACGGAACAAATACGTTTTCCGAAGACGAATATTTTTCGAAAATAGAAACAATTCGAAAGTCATTTATCGTGTTGACAATTTCGTTGACTTAAACAGCCAACTAAAACTCAACACATAAGATGCCTCTAGCTCCAGTCAACGCTATACTTTTCTGCTATTGGCCATGATAGAATCACTGATAATCTTTCTCTTAGTCTTGAGCGCAGCGGAACATTATAGACCAATTAGGATTTACTTTGTCAAATCCTTTTTTATTGTTTATTAATAAAAAAGTATTCAATTTAGAGTTAATTACTATTTGCCCCTAATTTTGCCCTAAACATACTCTGTTGGCCCTTCTATTTAAAAAAATATAAAAATTAAAAAGGTCAACTATTTAGTCATTTATGTAAATTTATATTATGTTAACCATTTATCCTCATATATTAATAAAATTCTTAATTTTCTTAAATTTTACTTTTTTATTCATAAAAGGCACAATGGGTCGAAATAACCATAGGCTATAATGTAAAGTAGCCATTCTCTTTAAATGTCATTCACCAAATTAGTGATAACTTTTCTAATGGAGGTGACTCGAAGTTTAAACCTCTCACTTTCTATATCTTCTATAAAAAGATATATAAAATGTAAGAAAATCAACCGGATCACGTCTGATTGACAAGATAATTAGAAGAAAGGTGATAGTTTTTCTTAAATTTTATTTTCTTATAATATTCTAAAATTTTATGTATAATCACAGTCATCAATTATAACTTATTGGAAGTTTATTGAACATTCAATTTATAACAATGAAATATATTTATTTAACTAATAATTTGTTTATCTCCTCTTTAAAAATGTTTTTTTAACTAATAATTAATAACTAACTAAAATCACTATGATCTACCATAGAATGATTAAATAATTTCACTTTTTAAATTTGGAAGACGAAATAACATATTTTAAAAATAACAATGACTGATTAGTGTATTATTAAAAATTATGGGGCAAAAAGTGAATTTACCTTTACTAAGTCACCGTCTCCCTGTAATTAGGGTCTTTTTTTTATCTCGCCCCTTCTCTTCAATGCTTTCCATTATGGCTTCTCCGATCGCCTAATTGATCAAAAGCCAAACATCAAAACGGATAATTTCTTAGAACCTAAACTTCGACCCGGAAAAAAGTCCAGACCCGATGGCTCGACGATCCATTCCAATCCTGAAGAAACTGCTCTCTTCATCAAACAATCCCTCTCCATCTTCCAGACTCACTTCTTATAGATCCGTGACTTACATGCCCAGACCCGGTGACGGCGCTCCACGCGCTGTAACCCTAATTCCTGGCGATGGAATCGGCCCTTTAGTAACCGGCGCCGTTGAGCAAGTGATGGAGGCGATGCACGCACCGGTTTATTTCGAACGCTATGAGATTCACGGCGACATGAAAAAGGTGCCGCCGGAGGTCATCGAGTCGATTAAGAAAAATAAGGTTTGTTTGAAAGGAGGATTAGCAACTCCCATGGGCGGTGGTGTTAGTTCCTTGAATGTGCAGTTGAGGAAAGAGCTTGATTTGTACGCTTCGCTCGTTAATTGCTTTAATTTGCCTGGATTGCCAACCCGCCATGAAAATGTTGATATTGTTGTGATTAGGGAGAACACTGAAGGAGAATACTCTGGTCTCGAGCACGAGGTCGTTCCTGGTGTTGTTGAAAGCCTTAAGGTAACTCTTATTTATCATTCGTTTCTGTTTTTGATTGAATTAAGAACTTTTTTGTTATAAATGAATCTGAAAATATAAAAATCACGAAAATATATGCAATTCCAATTTTGTTGGAACCAAACGGGGTCTTGCATAGTTTTTTAGAAAAATCCATATCCAATTCATATCATTTGCGAATGAATTTTCATATTCGGATCAACTACGGAGTTCAATTTTAAATAGCCAGTTTGAATTCATTAGCTTTTGTGTACTTTTATTATTTTTCAGTTGAGATTTTATTTGCAAATTCTATCAACTTTGGAACAATTTGGTCCAAGCATAACCAATTACATGGAATTAAAAATGTGAAATTCAGAACAAATTTTTATTTTTGCCAAACATCAAATTTTGTGTTTGTGAATGGATTCTGTAAAATTTTAAGGAATTCAATCATAACAAATAATTGATGTTGCACGGACACGGAAACGATAGGGGGAAACGACATTTGAAATATAATTTTACATGGAAAATGGTATTTTACATAGGGAAATGTTTCCGAATCCTTCCGTGCATAATAGCTATTAATGAATGTCAGTTTTTTTTTTTGGGTTTGTTAGGCTATCAATGGAACTATTTTGGTTTTTTATTTTTATTTTAATTTTTAAAATCTAATTACTACCAATTTGTTAGGTGATAACAAAGTTCTGCTCTGAGCGTATTGCCAAATATGCTTTTGAGTATGCGTATCTGAACAACAGGAAGAAAGTGACTGCTGTGCATAAGGCAAACATCATGAAGCTTGCAGATGGTTTGTTCTTGGAATCTTGTCGGGAAGTCTCTTCAAAATATCCTGGAATCAAATATAATGAAATTATTGTGGATAACTGCTGTATGCAACTTGTTTCAAAGCCAGAGCAATTTGATGTCATGGTATTGAATTTTTATTCAACCAATTCTGTTGTCTTTTTTTTTTTTTTTTCCTGCTCGTCTTCGTATTTTCTGTATGTGTCTCCTTATATTTGCAAGTATGGTTTTTGTTGGAAAACTGTGGTCCTATATTTGAGGTTCTAAGTTATTTAAACAATTAACAAACCCATTGATAAAGTGAATTACTTCTAGAAAAACCGATAGCACTAACATGCTCATTGTTCATTGTTCTTACTGTCTTTCTACCTGAATGTTGCAATCAAGGCAGCTGTAGGGAATGGGACATAAGTTTTGGGGATTAGATTACAGATTCCAGTAATAACTTTGGGGAAGTCAGTGAGTTAACATGTTTTTAGGTGCTGGCAAATTGAGGATCCTGATTTTAGGTGGCCATTTCTTTTCTAAAGATCTGTAGTAATTTCTAATCGGGAGAGAAACCCTTCATCCTTACTATTGCAAGGATGAGCATCTAATTAGTTTAGCTATCTTAAGAAAATGAATATTTCCAGCTTTTGACATTAGATGCTAGAGAAGGATATCCTCTTTGATGTAGGTGGCATCACTTAATAGTTAATACTAAAATTCTGGACTGTATACTGTAGGTAGCTTGTCTCATACATTTTAGTACTGAGAAGGATTTATCAAGAGAACTATTTTCTTAAAAGCTGGGAGTTAGCATTATTAGTTAGAAAAATAAAATAAGAAATGAAGAGAAAGCAAACAAAATTGTATGCTTACTGATATATTTTATGGTTTTCAGATTTCTCATTTTGGTTATGGACTCTGTCAGTATCACCCCTTTTAGTGTTTGACGAATATTCACTTGTCAAAAAAGGGGGGAAAAGGGAAAAGGATTTTAGATTTTTTTTTTATTTACTATTCATTAGAGGATTAGGATTTATTAGAATTTAATTTAGTCTCCATTTGGACAATTTTGACCTTAGTAGAATAGAATGATGTGGATTGAATTTAGAGTTGAGGCTGTGCCAAATTTGTACTGTGGAGCTCTGTGTATTGTATTATCAGCCATGATAAGGGATTGGAGAAGGATATGAAATTTACCGTTGAGGATGGTTAAAGCGTTGAGCTAGCAAGATATCAATCAGTTGGCATAAGAATCTTTCTTTTTTGTAATTTTTTCAGTGCTGTCACCAGGCCTCGCCTAGGCACAAAGGGGAGGTGAGGGGTTGGTGCTTGGTATACCTTAAAATGAGGCGCCTTCAACTAGGTGCTGCCTAGATGCCAAAGTGCAAAAAGGAGGGGCGACAGGTAGGCGAGCGACTCAAACTAATTTTGCTATTTCCCTATATAGCTACTAAAAGATTAGGTTAACAAATGTGGGGATCAAAACAAAAAGAAAGCGGCTAGAAATTGGAAAATTGGACAGCCATTAAATAATTAAGTCAAAAACTTCATACAAATATGGAAAAGAAAAAGAAAGTGGCTGGAAATTGGAAAGTTAATCTACCATACAAATATGGAAGAAAATAAGTTGCTGGAAATTGGGAAGTTGGACAGCCATTAGATAATTAGGTTAAAATCTAACCTAACCTAACCATTAAAAATAAGTACAACAAATATGTAAAAGAAAGTGGCCGGAAATTGGAAAGTTTGACAGCCATTAAAAAAATTAGGTTTAGTTAAATCTAATAGTTATGTTAAATGGTTTTATGTGCTTTTTGGAACCAATGTTTTGATGCATAAGTTCTAAATGAATGACATGGTTTTGTTCTTTAACAATACATCTAGAATTCTAAATTATAAATAACCTAAAATTCCTCACTTTACTCTGGTGAGCGCCTCTAATAGTGCCTAGTGCCTCGGGCAATGGAGGACCTTGTCGCCTTAAGGGCGCCCATCGCTTTGACATCGCTGATTTTTTTATTTGAGAATTCACTGCTAGGATGTTCGTGCCTGTTATCGCTGATTGTATTTGGCATTAATAATTGGGTTTTGCTCAAAATCTCAATGCTTGGTTTCCATAGATTGAAATAGTGAGGGAGCGAACATGAGTTCTTTCGCTGATGAGGCTCGGTTTACATTTTGCAGGTGACACCTAATCTTTATGGGAATCTTGTTGCAAATACAGCTGCAGGTATTGCTGGTGGCACGGGAGTCATGCCAGGAGGTATATCCACGAATATAATTTGTTGTAGAACTTTGTGTTTCTTTAATGTTTTTCTTTTTGCAGTTTTGGAATTAGTGATAGAAAGGCCATAATAACTTGACCAATGTATAGTTAATGCCAGGTGATTATTCCAAAGGCATCTAAATAAAGCTTCGTTTTAGTAAACTTCAATTGGTTGCTACGTTCTTTAAAATTACTTCATGGTCCATATGATTCTTTTAGGCTTCTGAGTTTTGATTAACAAAAATGAGTGTCTTCGATGGCCTTAGTTTGTCTGAGAGCCTTAGAGATGCTGCAATAATGCTGTGTGTTTTCTACAAGATATTTGTGTCAGGAATTTGGTTTTGGTACGTCAATTAGGGGCCAGCATATAAATTAGGTGCTTGCATCAACTTTAAGAAACTGACTGAGCCTGATTTGTAATCAGTGAACTTTATAGTCATTGGGTCAGTGGCCACTGGAAGTGATAGAGGAAATCCAGTTTGTTGTGGTTTATTTAAACACTAGAAACCTGCTTGAGCTTGACCCTACTTGAGCAACGATTATTAAGTATTGTCATTTTATATAAGCTATAATTGTGCTCTTGAGAATCCTTTTCTTTGTCATCCTCTCTTTTAGTTATTTCATTTCCCAATTCTTCTCTCTCTCTCTAAGCCTGTTTCATGTCTGATCTCTCAATCCTGAAATCTGGTCCTCAATTGGAATCCTTCAGTAGCTCAAACAAATATTTCTCATTTTGGCCTGCTAGATATTTGCTTAGATATGTAATAATACATATTATAATTCTTGTTTGTGAAAGTATTTAATGAATTCAAAGTTGGGTTTCTGATTGCATGAGATTTTTACCGTTAATTGAAGCTTGATTTCTTGATGAGTATCTGAGGGCCTATGATTTGATATATTGTAGGGAAACAAAAATGCATGGACTCAGTTTCTATAAGCAAATTTGCATTTTCTTAAATGTATTTTGCAATTGTTCTCACACTTGATTTCCTTCAGTTCAAGTTGAGAACTCTATGCTATGTTTAAATGATGTTGATGCTAAGGGTTTGATTCAGAATTGTTGATACTTGAGTGTTTATACCCTATCCCCAAATAAAGTTGCATGCATGTGCTCAACTTGATGAAACTCCTATAATTTCATGGTTTTGGCGCCCTAAATTCAGAATCCGATTGCATCATTTCAGGCCACCATTTGATGTACAATCCATCTGATCTGATCCATGTACAACCTTTCTAATAATGCTGAGCTCAAAATCAAATGCTTCCTAGATCTTTGGAGCATTTGATTTTTTTTTCATGGGCTGCATTAATAAAATCTTTCCTGAACTTTAGTGCAAATATTTTCCTAGAGCTTGGAATGTAATGTCTTATACAAGTCTTGGGAAATTAATGTCTAAGATTGAAGATAGCATATGTACTTGTTCGCTGTCCTTTACAATTGCACCTGTCACTAGCAATTAGAACAACTCTAAACAAGATTAACGTTTTATTGAGTATAAGAGGCATACAGAGTATTGGTCTTAGGTAGGAGATATAATATGGGCAGGTTTTGATTTGGAAATGATTATAAATGCTTTTGCGAAATTCAACTTGAAACTGCTGTTTATCTGTTCTGGAGTCTGTTATGGCTAAAACCTACAGAAATATATCTTATGTGCTATTTCTTATAGATTTTATCTACATATTTCATATGCTCTTTTCTGGTGAACTTCACCATAATGCCAAACTTACCCTAAATCATATATCAACTCCATCCATCCAAAGTTTGATATAGTCATCTTCTCAAAAATTTTGATATAGTCATTGATGCATTGTAGATAAACGCGCATGTTTGTACGGAGTTTGTTATGGCTAGAACCTATAGAAAGTTATCTTAAGTGCTATTTCTTATGGGTTTTTATCTACATATTTCATATGATAAACGCTCATGTTTGCACAGAGGGTTGAGAATCTACAGTATTATTTGCAATTTTCTCTTACAAATGTTTCCCTGCCCTTTTGTTTCCTCGCGAACAGGAAGAGTAAATGAGAATTTTGCATAATTTGTTTCTTAGACAATTTCTCATTCAGAATTGCTTATATTGCCAAAAAATGGGTGCTGATATTGCAGGCAATGTTGGTGCTGATCATGCTATTTTTGAGCAAGGTGCCTCAGCAGGAAATGTGGGCAATGAGAAAATAGTGGAAAAGAAAAAGGCAAATCCAGTGGCGCTGCTTCTCTCATCTGCTATGATGCTCAGACATCTTCAGTTCCCTTCATTTGCAGATCGATTAGAAACTGCTGTGAAACGGGTAATTTTAGAGGGAAAGTATCGAACGAAAGACCTAGGAGGAACAAGCACTACCCAAGAGGTTGTCGATGCAGTCATAAGTGCTCTAGACTGATCGAGTAGATACTCATTTAGCTGCAGACCTTACTAAATCATTTGCAGAGCCAAACATGATATTCTTTATGACACTTCTATTTCCAACATTTCCTCATTGCTGCTTTCACCGTTGAGATCATCATTTCCTTTTTTGTTTAAATAATCTCAAATGGAGATATGACAAAAATGCATTTGTTAATCGAGTTAAATACCTGTATAGGGAGGAGGTCAAATTCTGTGTTTGCTGCAATTATCAAGTTCACCTTTATATTTGAATTAAGTGAAGTCATGACCATATTCGAGGGAAGTGGATCTTGAATATGGTTTTTTGGTATTTTTTTAGCTTTTTCACTTTCCTGTTCAGTGAAGGATTGTGATGCCCGAGGATTTTTGTGAAACTGTGTTTCTGTTTTCTTGCATGTTTAGCATATTGGGGATAGAGAAAATCCTGTCAAAATAATAAAATGACAATTAGTAACCAAGTACTGATTCTTAGGTCCTTGTTTGGATTGATGGATTTCAATTTCATGGATGTGTACAATCTCTTGTTTGGTATAGGTTCATTTTATGAATTTTTTGGCCAAATTACTCCAAAACTTAGATGAATAGTGTCAATTTGCCCATTAGTCTACGGGTCAAAATTTTAGATTTTGAGTTCGAGCTGGATTTACATTTACATTCCTACTTACAAGCATGCTTTAAGAATTTTTCTAATGTAGTATAGAATATTTCCCAAATATTCATCAATAAGGTGATATATTAATCAACAAGTCCATCAACGAGAAAGAAAAAATTAATCAAATCCAAACACAAACTTAATTTTCATATATTTATATAAAAAAATAAAAACAAGAAATATTGATTAAAAGAAAGAAAAAGAATGAAATGGCAACAAAAGGAAAGACAAATTTAAAAAGGCTTTACAAATAGATCTGAAAATAAAGAGAAGACAGATACAGAAGAAGAGAGAAAGAGAAACTGAAAATCAAACTCTAAGGGGCAAAAACGCAATAGTTTCCCAGTAAAAGAAAGAGGCAAAGAGCTCTGGCAATTTAGGGTTTTAGCTAAATTTAACAAAATCTATTCATCAGCTTGTCCCTTTCTCCTTTGTGTAATTTACCTTATAATATATATAATTTATATTTATAATCATTGACTATTTACATTCTAATTTTAATAATAATAATATAAAAAAAGCAGTATTCCTTCAAATTATTCAACATCTATAATTTAAAAAAAAACATTTATTTAAAAAATAAAAAATAAAAACAATAAAAAGCTTCATATTTAGTTTTTTACTATAGTAAAAATAAGCTAAAGTAAATGATTCAACCAGTAACTTCTTGTCATGTCTAATAAATTCTAGGTCCTACTAATAATAAATGACATTGGCTAAATAATTATTGTTCCTGAATATTTAGGTTTCAGGGTGATTTAGTAAATAACAACAAATGAAATTCAAATTATTACGAAATAACTATAATATGAAATTCAATTGAAATCTGCATTTCAAATTGCATTGGAATGAATTTCCATAACTGTCTTAGAATCCATACGTATAGAATACAAAGTTTGATGATATCTATATATATTAGATAGCTCTTTTATTGGTGGTCACAAAGTAATTCAAAAGTTAAGCACTTGGTTTGGTTTAATTTTGTTGAATTAGGCAACATGATCCAAATCTTCAGAGCTCCTTTGATTCAAACCAGTTCAAACCGATTTGGTTTAGATTTGCATAAAAAATCTCGAGTCTTCTCTCATTTTTCTGGGGATTTTGAGAAAGAATCATTGAAATCCATGGAGGGTCTTATTCATTGCTCTGTAAATTACGTTCCTTTATCTCCTATAAGCTTCTTGGAACGAGCAGCTAAGATATATGGAGACAGGAAATCTGTTATTTATGGTTCTTTGGAGTACAGTTGGAGTGAAACCTATAACCGTTGTCTTGGGCTGGCTTCTGTCTTGACACAGTTGGGAATTTCTAATGGCGATGTGGTGAGTTCATTTCATTGTCTTTTCTTGAAAATTATCATTTTATATCTTATCAAAAAGGAAATGTTTCTATAGTGTTGTCTAAAATTTTTATGACTGAAATATGTGAAATTTGATTTAAGAAAGCATTTTTGGTTAACTATAGTTAAATAATAATTGTTCGAATTCCTTCCATAAACTTAACGAGCTAAGTAATTTATTTATGATGCTCATTTAACAAAAAAAAAAAAAAAATTGAACTTAAACTTCATTCGAGTTGGATGAATTATAATTTTTTTTGATAAATAAATTATAGATGAGCTAATTTTAAAGTTTGAACCGGAAACCTATTAATAATTTTAAAAAGTAAATAATATAACTGCAATGAAATAAAATAATTAATTTTTAATTTTTTGGAGGGAAATTACAGCGAAATACATTTAACTATATAAAAATGATTAGCTCAGACGTTTTATTGTAAATATTTTTCTTTATAAACTTGAAATAAAAAAATTAATATAATATTCATCACAGCAAATATAATTTTCAGCACATAAGAACAGTAATAGATTTTTCATGTCAGCCAAAGGACTTGAACTTTGTATTACATCATCCATGATTTTATCTCTTATCTTACATGCTTCGGCAGTTCAAAGACTCTGTTGACAGTGTTACGTCTCCAATCCCAGAGGAAAGCTTTGCTTTGTGTTTCATTTTCTCGTATTTGCCACTGGAGTCTGCTACCTGTTTGTTTAAGTTTCTCTGTTACCCACAAACATGAACCACCTTTTCAAGAACAAATCCTATTATTTTTACTGTACTCGTTTCATTTCCTCTAGTTTCAACCGGTTTCTTTTCAATTTCCCACAAAATTCCCGCACCTGTTTGTTTAAGTTTCTCTGTTACCCACAAACATGAACCACCTTTTCAAGAACAAATCCTATTATTTTTACTGTACTCGTTTCATTTCCTCTAGTTTCAACCGGTTTCTTTTCAATTTCCCACAAAATTCCCGCGTTTTGTCTCATTTTCCTGGGGATGTTGAGCCTGAATCATGGAAAACTACGGAGGGCCTTGTTCGTTGCTCTGCAAATTTCGTTCCCTTGTCTCCTATAAGTTTCTTGGAGAGATCAGCTAAGGTGTATAGAGACAGGAAATCTGTTGTTTATGGTTCTGTTGTGTATACATGGAATGAGACTTATAAGCGTTGTCTTAGCCTTGCTTCTACTTTGACCCGATTGGGAATTTCCAGAGGTGATGTGGTGAGTTGATTTTGATTGAGCTGCTTTTTTGTACTGTTTTAGGAGAAATTTGCTCTTCTGGGTTGGCTTTAATTAATAAAAAGGTTTTGATTTTTATTCTAGTTTTTAGATTACTGCCATTGACATTTGATCATTATATTTTGATTTTGATTGTTTTCGAGTTCATCTAGATTTTCTTCTCAAATGACTCAATCTGGTGGATATTCTATACACTGGACCGGATAAATCCCCTTCATTTACTGGTGGATCAGCAGCCTTCATTCTTCTTTGCCATTAATATTTTAAATCATTCTCTACACTTCTTTTCACCCTTTTTGTACTTTTTTTAAATCTCTACATCAAAATTCAAAACAACCATTGATCATCTTTCTTCTATTATTTAATTCATTGATAAGATTGAGTAGGATTTGGTCGATGAAGCTTCATTTTGATTAAGATTGAGTAGGATTGGTCGATGAAGCTTTAGGTCAGTTGGGTTAATCCATTGTGATTGTTTACGTAAAACTTATCATGCATTTTTTAGTTTTATTGTTTTGTTGAATTTGAATTGGCTCAAATTAGTCAATACACAAACAATGACAGGCTGCAAACTTAAAAAAAAAATTAAAAAAAAAAAAAAAAAAAAAAATAGTGACAGTTCTAACTTTTAGATTAACCCTTGAATGCTTCAATTATTAAAAATTATAATGTATTGATATTTTAAATCTAAAATTTCATATGTTAAACTTTGTTTTTATAAAATTTAGATGTCAATTTATAATTTCTGCATTTATGAGTTTATCAATTTGCTTCAGGGGGAAAACCACTAGCTCGTGAAATAAGTTTGTTCTCCAGATTGTTTAACCATTTATGCTGTAGAAACCCTACAAAATGGGATACGACAAAAACATTGAAAATTTCAAGCCTTTTAAGATAGAGTTGTTTATATTATCTATTGGTGTACAGAAAAAAAAAAAAAGAAAAAGAAAAAGAAAAGGGAGGCGACTTTGTTGTTTTCTAACTGTTTTCCTGGAGTAATTGCTAGTATTTGTTTATCTTGTCTTATTCTTGTTCTGTTTGTGCGTGTTCAAATATTGAAAATGCTGTCTTTACTGATCTATACTTAAAATATATCAGCATTTAATATTAGAATGTAAACATTAACGCAGGTGCTATACTTTGGGCCCCTTTATGTTCCAGCAATGTATGAGCTGCATTTTGAAGTCCCTAATGTGGCAGGAGCTGTTTCTTGCACGCTTAATTATACACGCCATGATGCAATATTGGTTTTCTGTTTTCGCTATGAAACATTCCAGAAGACCATGTCATTTTGTTAGACTATCAATTATTTTGAATGTTGCTCAGTTAAAGCCACTTTGGTCTTCTGGCAAATACCAGAACACAAGATCCACCTATAATTTTGGTCTTAATTTTCTGAATTCTGTGGCCCGATGCTTTCTCTCTTGTGCTTTCTTTCAAACCATGCTTATGAGAGAATATGAAAGGACTCTTGGAAAAAATGGAAGGATTAATGCAGCATTCTCTGAGATTAACGTGATCCGAGACATGGTGGTTGGGAATTCCAATCCAGCATAAATGTTATTATCTCCGGCCCACAACTTCACGACCACAAGGGTTGTTTATTAAATCTAACTAGGGGTGGATATCTTCTAAATTCTTCGACCCAAAGGAGTTGTTTATAATCACAGGGGTGGATATCTCAATTCTCTTGCTACAGTTTTCCTTCATGGGATGGGAGCAATGCCCGTTTACCTTTGGACTGTGCCTATGTTTCACTGCAACGGATGGTGCCTTACTTGGGGAATTGCAGCTCAAGGTGGCACTAACATATGCCTCAGAAAAGTCTCTCCAAAAGGCATTTTTGACTGCATAGCAGAGCACAAAGTGACACACATGGGAGGAGCTCCAACTGTATTGAACATGATTGTGAATTCTCCGGTTTGTGATCGAAAACCACTTCCTCACAAAGTGGAAGTAATGACTGGGGGTGCGCCACCACCCCCTCAAATCATTTTCAAGATGGAAGAGTTGGGTTTTGGTGTATCCCACTTGTATGGCCTTACAGAAACTTATGGTCCAGGAACTTATTGTGCATGGAAACCTGAATGGGATTCTCTGTCTCATAATGAGAGAGTAAAGTTGAAAGCTCGACAAGGAATTCACCATCTTGGTTTAGAGGACGTTGACGTAAAAGATCCTATCACTGAAGAAAGTGTACCGGCCGATGGTAAAACATTAGGAGAGATTATGTTCAGAGGAAACACTGTAATGAGTGGGTACTTCAAAGACTTGGAAGGAACAAAGGTAGCTTTCAAAGGTGGATGGTTTCGAAGTGGGGATCTAGCTGTGAAACATTCTGATGGTTATATAGAAGTAAAGGACCGGTTGAAGGATATTATAATTTCTGGCGGAGAAAATATAAGCACAGTTGAAGTAGAAACAGTTTTATACGGCCATCCTGCAATTCTTGAAGCCGCAGTAGTTGCAAGACCAGATGATCATTGGGGACAAACACCTTGTGCATTTGTGAAGCTAAAAGAGGGATTTGATGCAACCGAGCAAGATATAATTAAGTTTTGCCGAGATAAATTGCCTCATTATATGGCTCCTCGAACTGTAATTTTTGAGGATTTGCCAAGAACCTCAACTGGGAAGGTTCAAAAATTTATTCTGAGGGAGAAAGCAAAGGCTATGGGCAGCCTTTCTTGAGAAAATAAATTGCTCATCATTAATAGTGGGCTCCTCGAAACTGTCATTTTTTATGAGGATTGCTCTACATATAGAATACTTCAAAGCTGAGTGCCTTGTGCATTTGTGAAGCTAAAAGAGGGATTTGATGCAACCGAGCAAGATATAATTAAGTTTTGCCGAGATAAATTGCCTCATTATATGGCTCCTCGAACTGTCATTTTTGAGGATTTGCCAAGAACCTCAACTGGGAAGGTTCAAAAATTTATTCTGAGGGAGAAAGCGAAGGCTATGGGCAGCCTTTCTTGAGAAAATGTATCAAATTGTGTAAAATATATCAAATAACATATTGAGTTTAAAATAAACGAAACTCGATTCAACTTTAGATGATTGATTTACATCTATATTAAAAAAGTTATTTTAAATTTTAAGTGGAGAAATTTTTGAATTTTATCTTTTAAGCCACATAAACAAACTATTAATAAATTTTTTTGAATTTTACTTCTATTATAAAGAAGTTCAACGTAAAAATTCAAAAGCTTAAATAGCCAAAATATTAAGGTCTCGTTTGGTTGGGATAAGTAAACGGAGGAAGTTGAAGTTTCCAAGAAATATAGATTTTGAGCATGTTTAGTTGGCACAAATTGTGTAATTTCTGGAGACTTAAAAATAAAACTCCCCCGCCGTTTACTTCCCCTGCTCACCCATAGGAAGTGGAGTTCCTGTACTTGTGATTCAACACATGCTCTTTCCTTATTAAGCTTTTTTAGAGAATTATTATTCTTATTTTGTGTGTAATTATAACATTAACCAAATAAATAAAATTATAATAATATTTTGTACAACATGTAATTAAAAGGTTATATTGATTACAAGCAAGTGGATCATATAAAACGAGTTTTATTAAATTTTTTTAATGAAATATTTCAATTAAAATTTTTTGAATGAAATATTTCAATTATTATATATAATAGGGTATTTTTGTCATTTACAATCTCACATTTCATTAACCGAATTTTACTTTCTGGAAATTCAATGTATCAATCAAATACAGTCCCACTCAACTTTTCGGAAAGTAATTTTTTTAAAACTCTACTTACTTGGAAGTCAACTTTCCAGGAAATAGATCTATGCTAAGTTCCAAATAGATATTTTATTCCTATGAAATTCAATGACGTTTTGGTTTCAATGTAAAAGTCAAAGAGATCTGTACAAATCTTGAAAGCATCAGCGATTCCAGGGGGTCTCCCACCAATATTAACCCACTTTTAAACAATCGAGTCAGACACCGAGTCATTCACCGTGACTCGCTTGATCCACCCATCTTGACAGCTCGTGTAAATCAGCCCCGACTTGCTGTCATATGCTATATCTTCGGGTCCCTTCATCCAAAAGTTCTGATCTTTCAAGGACATGACTATTTTGCATCAACTATACTTCGGGTTCCCTATTATCACTCAAAAAGTTCTGATCTTTCTCTAGAAGGATCCTGAATGACATATTTTTTGCAACTGACTCAACTGCATTTAGGGATGGCTGAGTCCAACTCTCCGCTGGATGGGAAATAAATACGCTGAGGTCTCTTGAACGCGCATTGGTGCTTTTTTTTGTGGGTACTCAACTCAAGTTACTTAGCAAGCTTATAACAGGAAGATATTGTACTCTTTTTTTTGAAAAATGAGCAATTAGTGCAAAGTACAAAGCCATGGTCAACACTCTCTCTTCCTGATGTTAGTTGTCATAATGAATTATAGATTTATTGTGTGCGCTCATATCTCTGTCTGTCGCTTCTTTGCCGCAATAGAACTCAGGTGGAGCAGAACTAGGTTGGATGATGCGTGTTTCCAATTTGACATATAAGATGTTTCTAGTGTCCCTTAGTTTGTGCAAGTGGCACTAATATGCTTTGGGAATCTTACGGGAACTACAAATCATTATTTGTGCCAATAAATAACAAAAAAAAAAGTAAACTTCCCCTACTTTTTGTTGGCCTGTAAACTTGTTACCATGATTTACTTCATACTGTTCTCTCCATTCTCCACATATATATACGTGATACCTATTTTCTATCGCAGGGGACAATTATTTCCCTATTCCTCAATTTTCTAACACGGTATATTGTTTTGTACTTTCTCGCGATATCTTACATTTGATTAACTCTCCAGTAGTTGTGTTCTCTTCCTTTTTCTCTCTTATTTTTCTGTATTCTGTTTTCTGATAGTCTGCATATTCTATTTTCTTTTTGGTATACATGTCTCATTTAGCATGTTCTGTGGGCACAATCGTTTTCTAGGTATTTTTGCGCTCTTCTCTTTGATAGATGATTTGGTTCGCATTCTATCTGTTCTCATTAACATATTGATTCCTTCATGGTTCCTATTCAGAACGTGCACTGCGCGTGTGATAATTGTTTTTCTCAAGTGTCGAGTCTGTTCACTTTTTGATCACAGTTTATTTTTATCATACTTTGGTTGTCTGTCCAATTGTAGTCAGTTCTATTCCTGTTCTTGTGTTTCCTCTTGTACGTCCCTCGATATATATTATTTCTCGTCCATCTTATTATATCAATTTCTAATTAATAAAAAAAAAAAAAAAAGAGATTCATGTTGCACTTTCCCAAACATTTTTGTCCATGCCATCTTTGTGTCTTTTGTGTGTGTCAATTTACACATATTCAGCCTTTCTTCGTTACACTATGCCCTTGAGGTTTTCATATATTGTTATATTTTCTCTCTATTTCTTTGTCTTATTATTTACCTGATATATTACTTCTCTTCTACATATCTATACAAAACTTTCTTGCCTTAATTCTTTATCAATTACTTTTAACTTTCAGCTGTTATTATATCTTTCTCTCCATTCTCCTTCGATTTTACCTCTGACTCATTACTTTCTCTCGCTCTAAAGGATACCATCTCATGATGATAGATTCATAAATTAAAGAAATCTATGTATGTATACTACCATACTATAGTTCTAGCTTATTAAGTCTCCAGAGTGAAAATGGTTGGCAAATTTAACTCTCAGTTTGCTCAAAAAAATAGCTCTCCGTCTCTAATTTATTCTAGGCTTGTGTAAGAAATTACTATTCCGAATAATTAGGTGTTATATTTAGGCTCTGGGGAGAATATTTATAACATTTGCAGCTATCATCAAATTAATATGACATAGGTTGAGGGGTGTGTTCTAAAAACATCCTCAATAACCATAATTAGTATATTTGCACATAGTATGAAAATATGTATATCGCTAGAACAAAATCTCTGACATTCTATCTTTGATATATACAACAATTTTAGTGGCTATCGATAGATAAGAAGCAGCAGTTTCTTGGTGGAAATAAGAAGTGGATGTTAATTTCATTTGTTAATTTACTGAACTCTTCCACAAACACAAAACTTTTGTAATTAATTAAATTAATTGTAATATTTTCTATGTTCATTTACGACAATATTTTGTTTATTATTATGTTAAAAAAATTTTTGTATTTGATTATAAGGTGAGTGAAATGGTGGCAAATATATGTGAAATGCGCTTCGTAATATTTTTTTCACTAAATTATTTCAATTATTATATTTAGGTGAAATTAAATTAAACGCGGCAAAAACATCATACTATTACTATATTCAATGAGAAATGTTTGCTAGACAACTCTGACAATTTCTATAACATTTGCATAGTGTAAACACATTTTTTGAAAAAGAAAAAGAGGATTACTAGATGTTTTAGTCATTGCCTCTGTAAGCTCGGATAACTAGTCAGGTGTTGATGGCCCGATTGAGGACAACCCATAGGGCGCACCAACCCTCTGAGCACTGATGAGAGACATTAGTATAGCATTAATCTACACAACTTAGGTATTGGCAAGTGCAGGATACTTGGCCAAATTTAGACGAATAATATAGGGATAGGTGATAGAACCACAGTATAGATGATTTCCAATTTTTACACTACTAGAAATCAATTTTAACTCAGGATCATAGTAATGGGAAATCAGTTTCCCTTCCAAATCCACCACAAAAACTCCTCCATTTTTTCCTGTATCACCTATATTTCCTTTGTGCTTCAAAACAATTCCTGCAAGCTTTCGGACAAAAGGATATTTGAATACTGCCTTCCAAAATGTTGTGATTTCCTGTCAAATTGATCAAAATTACTAATCTGCTCAAGTTAATTTAACAATTACTTTAAATATATAAAGATATTATACCATGGGTAATGCAATCCAGAAGTGGCCATGTCCATCATAATGGATATTGTCTGGCATTCCAGGCAAATCAGTAAATTTTTCCAAGCTTCCTTTTTTATTGCCTTTTATGTAATATTTTCTACACCTCCTCCTGTAGTGAACAAGTCCAAACCAGGTTTTTAAAGTCAAATTCAATATATAAAGGTGTAAGTAAGCCGAGTCAAGCTTGAACTTGACGAGCGCAAATCTCGGCTCGGAAATCAACAAGCCTGAAAATTTTAAATTCAAGCTCGATTTGAGCTCGACTTGAGGCTCTTAGTTCAATTCAAAAAATTTTAAGTTTGAGCTCGGCTTGAGACTCGAGACTTGAGTAACCTATTATACATATGTATATAAAAAAACTTGATAAGGCTCGACAAACTTTTAAGCTGAACTTTATTAGGTTCGAGCTCAGATCATTTGCTAAATGAGGAGGCTTGAGATTAAGTTTGAGCTTGATTCGAGCTGAACTTTTTCGAATGCAAACAGTTCGCGAGCTGACTTAGCTAATTTACACTCCTAACAATATATTAACAAAAATCTAAGTATATGCTTGCATTACAAAAGTTTAAAGGTTGAACCAAAAAAATTATTTGAAACAAATAAATATTTTAATTATTTTATTAGACTAGCAAACAATCTAGTCATAACTTTATATGTAATACTTGAATATGATTCAATCTATTGATTGACCTACTCAAGTTCGAGTTCGATTTAGTTAAAATTGAAGCAAGTTTGAATAACTCCTAAAGTAACTCGACTCGACTCAATTAAACTTTTAGAATTCTCATTA